TCATAAATACCCTATGTTACATTAAAGAAGTTTCCTTCGCCCAGCCAGTATGGCTCAGTGGTTGAGCATCGACCCATGCACCAAGAGGTCACTGGTTTAATTCCCGGTTAGGGCATATGCCCAGGTTGTGAGCTCAATCCCCAGAAGGGGGCATGCAGGAGGCAGCCAATCGATGTTCTCTGTCATTGATGTTTCTAGCTCTCTCTCCCTCTCCCTTCCTCTCTCTCTAAAATCAATAAAGAAAAAAAAGTTTTTGTTTTTAATTTGCTGAGAATTTATTGTCTTGAACAGATGACTTTTTGTGAGTTGATTTACCTGCATATATTAAGATAACTATATGGGTTTCTTTTTGTTAATATGGTGAATGACATGCACTGATTTTTTAAAAACTTTTTTGAAATATTTATTCTTTTTTTTTTTAAATTTTTTTTAATTATCAAACTTTATTTACTATAAATTATCTGTTTCCTATATGTGCATAGAGTGGTGCTTTTAGATCTAAAGTCAAGCAAGGAGTCCCCTAAATAACTTTTTTTTTTTATCCTCACCCGAGGATATTTTTCCATTTTTTGTACAGATACAGTGGGAGGGAGAGAGAGGAAGGGAGAGAGAGAGAGAAACATCGACGTGAAGGGACACATCGAGTGGCTGCCACCCGCACAACCAACCAAGGCCGGGGACAAACTGCAACCGAAGTGCCCTTAGCGGGAACCGAACCTCTCCGGACCGCAGGCCGACGCTTTAACCGCTGAGCCAAACTGGCCAGGGCGAAATATTTATTCTTTATTGATTTTGGAGAGGAAAGGAGAGAGAGAGAGAAACATTGATGAGAGAGAACATCAACTGGACACCTCCTGCATGTCCCCCAGTGGGGACTGGGCCCACAACCTGGGCATGTGCCATGACCAGTAATCGAACTGGCGACCTCTTGGTGCATGGGTTGATGCTGAACCAGTGAGCCACACCACCGGGCCATGCATTGATTTTTAAATGTTAATCCCATCTTAAATTATTAAAATCTTAACCAATGAACTACAGTTGATCATCAAGCATTATCCTTTCTACACATTCCAAGAATCAATCTGCTAATATTCTCTTAAGGATTTTTGTGTCTTTGTTCATGATAGATAATGGACTGTAGTTTTTTTGTATTTTGTTTTATGAGGGTGAGGGTGAGGGGTAGAGTTATATGCCTTTCAATATTTTTCTCTATTGCCTGCAGGATCTAAAATTCTAGATTTCCCCCACTCTTATTTTTTTTTATCCTCACCCAAGGACATTTTTGCCTTTATCTCAGATAGGGCGGGAGGGAGAGACAGAGGAAGAGAGAGAGAGAGAGACATTGATGTCAGAGAGACACATCAACTGGCTGCCACCCACACAACCCCAAAGGGCGGGGGGACGAATCACAACCGAGGTATGTGCCCTTAACAGGAACCAAACTCGGGACTCTCCGGTCCACAGGCCAACACTCTAACCGCTGAGCCAAACCAGCCAGGGCTCCCCTACTCTTTTATCCTTTCACCATCCAGTCTCCAAAGTGACTGCATTTTTACACTCTTCTCACGCAGCAATGCCTTCTGAGATTGCCACATCAAATGCTGCACACTAAGTCCATTTTTCTTTATACAGTACTCCGATCCACCCAAACTCTTTTTCAATAATTTTGCACATAGGATTGGCTTTCTCTTTTCTTGGAGTCATTTATTTATTTATATATTTATTTGTTTACTTACTTATTTTTAGTTCGATCTTAGGTCCTCTATTCACCTATTCATTCTCAATTTTCCTGGACTCTCCTTGTTCTCTCTGAAGGCTTTGGAAGAACTTAAACAGCAGTTCTCAACCTGTGGGTCGTGACCCCTTTGGGGGTTGAACGACCCTTTCACAGGGGTCGCCTAAGATATAACAGTAGCAAAATTACAGTTATGAAGTAGCAACAAAAATAATTTTATGGTTGGGGGTCACCACAACATGAGGAACTGTATTAAAGGGTCATGGCATTAGGAAGGTTGAGAACCACTGACTCAAGAGATAGTTCTGGAATATTTAAAAAATATTTCTAAATAATTTGAAGTTTATAGTATTATCCTGTCTTCTAGATATCTTAGTCATGGGATTTTTTTGAGGTTGTACTTGTTCTTGTTTATATGTATGGTTTTTGTGGAAGACATACAGAGAAATTCGAATATAGTCAACTCTCTTTTCCTTAGGCACCCTGTAAATCCAGAGTCATCCATCTTGGATCTGCTTTACCATTCATCCATTAATTTTCCACCTTCCAAAACTGTATTGCTTATCTTCTCTATTTTCTTTCTTCTTGTAGGTTTATGCTTTTGTCCTTGTAGGTTTATATCTTAACTGTTGTTCTGAGAGAATTTTAATATGTAGCAAAACTAAATATAGTACTTATATTCTATCTGTTACCCTTACTGTAAAGGGTAGTCTTTTCAAAGATAAGGGCAAATAGAACCAACTGTGGCAAATGTTAAGTGGTAATAGCACCCTGTAGTTGATCACTCTTTTACTTCCTTGAATTTAAGATCCCAAAGATGCAGAACTAAAGTATTTAATATCTTTTAAAATACCCCAAATTAAATTCTTTTTGAATCTTGACAAAACTCCTATTTTCCTTTAACAAACACCTTTTCGTGCTGGTTAACTTACTGGCTTACTAGCTAAAAGCAGAATGTTTCATAACACACACATTCCCATTTCATACCTCCATATAATTTTACTGCATAAGATCTTCAAATATTAATTGCAAAGTAAAACTAGTTATATTACTTGGTATGAGAATAATCTGGCTCACGTAACAAGAGAAAAGAATACATAACTGTTGGTTTTTCATATTCATTATTACTATGCTAGGCTGAATAAGGCACCCAAATATGTACAATTTGTGAATGTTAACTTAATGGTAAAAAACTTTGCAGAGGTGATTAAGCTAAGGATCTTGAGATGGGCAGATAAACCTGGATTATCTATGTGAGCCCAATATAATCGAAATAGGCCGAATAAAAGGGACACAGGAAGAGCCAGAGGCAAAGAACGTGATAATGGGATGATGGAAGCAGAGAATAAAGTGATAGGCTAACATATTTTCCTCACAGAGCATCCAGAAGAAATCATCCCTGCTAACACTCTGACTTTAGCCCAGTGAAACTGATTTCAAACTTCTGACCTTCAGAATTGTAAGAGTAAATTTATGTTGTTTTTCACCTATTAATCTGTACTATACAGCAGCAACAGTAATATATAATCACTTTTAAATGCAATGATGTACCTTAAAAGGAGAGGAGGCAGGGCATCTGATGTTATAGTCAATACCCTCCATCAGTTAAATACTTTATAGCAGAGGTAATTAGATTTAGGGTATAAGGTATTCATTCCAAAGAAACTTGTTTTGCCTCTCTTGTTAAAAGATTAACCCTTGCCAGGAAAGTATAGGTTTCACTTTGGTGAAAGATAATCTAAGCAATGAATTCTTCAAATAAGATCTCTCTCTGTCTTTTTATTTTTGTTTTTGGGATGTCTCTCTTTTTTCTTTATCCTCACCCAAGGACATTTTTCAATATTTTGTTCAGATAGAGTGGGAGGGAGGGAGGGAGGGAGAGAAACATCGATGTGAAAGGGACACATCGAGTGGTCGCCACCCACACGACCCAACCAGGGTCAGGGACAAATTGCAACCAAGGTACGTGCCCTTAGTGGAAACTGAACCCAGGTCTTCCAGACCACAGGCCGATGCTCTAACCGCTGAGCCAAACCGGCCAGGGCTGGGATGTCTATTTTAAAATCTATGTTGCTTAACATAAGTATTATATATTCCTTTGTTTAATAATTTATAATTAATTATTAATCTTTTGGTGCATTTTTATGATGGAACTCCTTACTTGATACCCAATATTTAAACATACATAGCAAACCAACAATATGCCAAAAGTTCTTTCATTAAAGTGAAAATAAAATTGTTTATTACAATGCTATGTTTCTCACCTCTGGTCCTTTTAACATTATTTACTTTGATCCTTAAGCCATCATAAACATTGCTATTTTGCAAATGAACTAACTGGAACCAGATAGCTTAAGTATCTTATTCAAAGTCACTGAGCTAGTTGATAATAGAAAGTAACTTGAAGCCAGATCTTTTGTTTCAGGTGCCTGCCCTTTCCACTCTGTCACATTCTGTCTATTAGAGATATATGACAATATCTCAAAATCTTGCCCAATACTTTTGGCCACAGATCAAAATTTATATCATGTTTTCTGTTGTTTCAATAGATTAAAAAAATAGTAGTGACCTTAGTATACTAGTATCTATTGATAGTATATAAGACAACTGTGAGAAAATGAAGGTTGTCTTCAGAAAAACAAGCATTAGAAATTAAAATGAATTATAAATTAGTACATTTAAATTGTAATTTATACATATCACTCTCTTATGAACTTGTGCTAATTTGCATTCTCAAGCTTATCTTTAAGATACTGATAGGACTAGATCTTGAACTGTGGCAAGTTCATCAAGGTATTACTATCCTAAGAAAGCCTGTAACTGCATAAATCTCTCTGCATCACAATGGCTCTAATTAATAATATTATTAATATAACTGCTACTCATTTAATCATTATGGGAAAATCAGAGTATTTGCATACAACATAGCTGTCATATTAAAATGATTTTCAGTTTTATTTTTTTAATCCTCACCCGAGGACATTTTTCCATTTTTTTGTTCAGATAGAGTGGGAGGGAGAGAGAGGAAGAGAAAGAAAGAGAAACATCGACGTGAAAGGGACACATCGAGTGGCTGCCACCTGCATGACCCAAGCAGGGTCAGGGACAAACTGCAAACGAGATACATGCCCTTAGTGGGAACTGAACCTGGGTCTTTCTGGACCACAGGCTGATGCTCTAACCGCTGAGCAAAACTGGCCAGAGCTGATTTTCAGTTTTAATACAAATTTAGATTGTTTTCTCAAATGAAAGTTCCTCAAACTGTTCTACCTCAAATAAAAATCCCAGATGATCTGCATATTCCTTTTCAGATGTAAAATTTCATGAACATTGTTTTGGGGATGTCAGTCTTTTTTTCCAACCTCTTTGACATGGTCTTCAAGTTCTCCCATAAGTAAGTTCTCATGTGTTTTCCCATTTGTAAATGCCTCAGTTTCCTGAAAGTATTCTGACAAAAAAAAAAAAAAAACTTAAATAGGATTCTGAAAGTATTGTTCTAGGCTGAATTAAATCCATCTTCACCTTCTCTTTAATAATATCATATGCATGTGAGCAATTTGGCACACTATTTTTCTTCTGAAAATCCATGATATGTTAAGAGATTTGGGCTATAAGTTAAAGTTGAATGATATAAGAAGACACCTACTTTAAAAAAGAATTTTTTATCACTAGAGCATGGACAATGGAAATTCACAATTTTTCTGTAGCCTTCCCCTAACTCTTCCAATCTCTGCAGTTACAAATGAATCACCTTTGAATGGATACAGCTTTAGAAAATGCACCAAATACTGTGTAGGTAAAGATTTTATAAGAATTGAAAGAACTGAAAATCATTAAAAGTTCAATAGTGAAAAAAGTTAAAAATCAGCCTTGTCTGGTTTAGCTCAGCGGTTAGAGTGTGGGCCTGCTGTCCAGAGAGACCCGGGTTCGGTTCCCGCTAAGGGCACATATCTTGGTTGCAGTTTGTCCCAGCTCTGGTTGGGTCGTGCCGGTGGCAGCCTTTCGATGTGTACCTTTCACGTCGATGTTTCCCTCTCTCTCCCTCTACTGTATCTGAACAAAAAATGAAAAAATGTTCTCTGGTGAGGATTAAAAAAAAAAGTTAAAAATCAGTTACAAAAATATTCATAATAAACAGTTTTTAAAAATTGTTTTATCATTAACTAAATGATAAATGGTGAAAAATATATAAGCTCCAGTATTATTGAGTAAAACAAACACATTTATTTGATGCTTGGTATAGTGTTACAGACATATTTCACATCACAAGCAAGGCAGTCATAATTAAGCCTGTAACTGACCTGGCTTGGATTGTCCTGTGACAGCAATTTCACCAGATGAATTAATGCAGGAAGTTTCCAATTCTAGCAAAGTGTCTTCAATTAAAGTGTAGAATAGTGCATAGATGGTTCTAGGCTAGCAAATGATTAATGTTCATTTATATTGTCCTGTCACTCTGGATCTAGAGATAAAAGTACTAACAAGAACCTGAAACAGAGCTTGGGTTCTGTCTTATTATGGATTAGGTTCTATTAACCTTAACAAAAACAGAAAGATTAGGTCAACATTTAGACTGCCAAAGTTGATGAATAAAATATTTTAATTATAAAAGAAAAGAAAACACCAATTTAATGTAGTGTGTTGTTTAACTACAAATGGGATTTCTGGCTTCTGAACATTTTCTGGGGGGCGGGGGATGTAACCATGTTTCTGAGGGGCTTTAAAACAAAAGGTAGCTTTAAAAGCTTTATATCTGCAGTTGCACATGACAAAAACTGGTCAATTAACATCTTATGCGCACAGAACTACAGAAGAAATTCTGCTCATAAGAGAAAGAAGTGATCAATTTGCTGCTTAACAATTCCTTGCCTACTCAAATAACTTAGCCAAGGTAAGATGTAATCAGACTCTATGAATTGAGAATTACAAATCAATTGTGAACATCATTTTTTAATTTGATTCAAACCCATTTTCATGTACAAAGCTAACTATGTACAAAATAAATGTATATTCTCGAAAACTGTTAGAATACAAATTTCCAAAGGACTAAAAAAGTGCAAAAATTTATATTATCTTCAGTCATGCTATACAGAAACAAACAAAACATTAGCTCATATACACACACTGAAAAAATTTAAAACAGCATTCAATGTAACAAATCATACATCTTACATATTACATATTTAATTTTAAAAGGATGAGTAAGAGAAGAATGTATTGCACCAAATTAACAGTAATTTCATTACAATGAGAATATTAATCAGAATTATTTACACATCTTTAAGTTTAAAATTTTCTCAACTTTAAAACCTTTTTTTGGCATACAAACATTCACTGAGTCACAGTTTGTACAGTCAATAATGAGATATAAATAAGGCTTAATATTCTTTTTCATGGTCCATTCCAGTAGAAAAAATGAGAAGGAACATTTATAACTATATAACTTTTTGAATTAAATATTTAAGTAGCAGCACAATTTACAAGTTTTTTTAACGTGTAATTCCGAATTTTCAGCTATCCTCCTCTGAAATGACTATGTGCATATATATCTTTACAAAATACACACACACAAACATTTAAGGCACTATCACCTTCTTTGATAACACTGAAATGTTTCTATTTAATCTGGGTCCCCCAAAAAATGACATAAAAGACAAATCATTTGTTTGATATTTTTCTGTCTTAATGGGTGCATTTCTGTAACAATGCATCTTATAGAAAATGACTTTCTGGCTAACTCTGATTACTTTTTGCAAAATTTTTCCTCCAAGTCTATAAAAGCAAACAGCTGGGGGAAGAAAAGCCGTACCTGTTAGAAGTTTCTGAAGAGAACAGACCACCCCTATGGTTTTCTAACAATTTTTCTTTTGTAAAGCTAACTATAAAACAAAGAGCAGCCACAAAAAGTTTTGATTATAGTATTTATGAATCACAGAAAACAGTAAAAAACAGAACAAGAAAAAAACAGTCTAGCCCTGGCTGGTTATGCTCAGTGGTTAGAGAGTTGGCTGGCGGACCAATGAGTCATGGGTTCGATTCCGGTCAATGGCACGTACCTCGGTTTCGATTCGTCTCCGGACCTGGTTGGGATCATGCAGGAGGCAGCCACTCGATGTGTCCCTTTCACATCGATGTTTCTCTCTCTCTCTCTCCCCCTCCCACTCTATCTAACAAAAATGGAAAAAATGTCCTCGAGTGAGGATAAAAAAAAAACAGTCTAATATAAAAGATTTTAACATCAGATCTACTGTAATTGCCATAATTTGGCAAAAAGAATAGAAATTATTATAATTAAATAATGTAAAAGTTCTCCAAGGAAAGCAATCAAAATCCCAAAAGAAAAAATAAAGTTATTTTCTTTAATCCCTATTAACGAAACTAAGAGGTTGAAATTAGTCTTTTCAGTTAAGTCTGACAACTGATATTTTCTTACCAGAACCAGTTTCTAAAGTGTTTATTAATATAATTTTAGCATTCTGAAGAGCAAAAAAATGTCTATCACAGATAAGTATTTTTCCTTCCAAATGCAAAAGGAGTATCTGTTGAATTTGTAGGTGAGTCCACTAAATCTTAAAACACATTGCTTTTAGAATATGGGAAAATGTTTCCAAGAAAAAGAACACAAAAAATAGCATTTTAACATTAATTAGTACACTGGCTACCAAAGAGCCTCTAGTTTTAATACATATTAAACTGAAATATGTTATTACCAAAATAAACATTTAAAAGGTCAAACTGGATTAGGTCTTCCTTTTAAAAATTTATATTTTAATCAATAAATTTATTTTCCAATCTTATAAAAATTTATTTTCCAATCTTACCTAAGTCCTAACCTCTTTTTCTATTCTCAAATTACAACATGACATTGAAATAGTATTACAAATAATCACTTTCTACACTCAAAAACAGTTACAAATTAAAATGAAACAACTATAAGTGAAAACACACACATACACACACACACACACACACACCCCTCTACTAACAGTCAACTGTGAAAAATGAATGGGTAATTAATTCCTTCTTTCACTGACAAAATTGTTTTGTTATTATGAGGCAAAATAAGTTTAGTTTCCAAGGAACCATATTAAATATTTGCAAAATAAGTTTCCAAGGAACCATATTAAAATTATACTATGGAAAACAAGTTGAATTTGTGACTTTCTACTTAATTCTTTCCTTTTGTATTTTCAGTTCATAAGATTATAGGCACTAAAACAAAAGTAAATACAGTTAATCTCTTTTTTCACTAAAAACATTAGCTTCATAGATCAAAATCCTGCTATGTATTTAGAAATCACCCACATATGACAAATGTGAGATGCATAATCCAAGATGTGTCTGAAGATTTACTATAATGTACCAGAAAAGTATTTGATAACATAGCCACTTGTACACAAGGTTCTTATATTGAAGAAAATAATCTAAATTCTATAATCAAGGATGGCCTTACACTATTAATGTAGAAAACTGAATCATTTCCATTATATGCCTAAATATCTTAAATGTTAATGCTTTATTTTCTGTAATACTCGGGCTTTTCATATGAAAAATTAAAGAGTACAGAAGTTTTCCATACAGAAACTATACCTATCAAAGTCATAAGAGGTAGGACTTTATCCGATGCTTTTTAATTAGGAAAATTCTACTGATTACTAAAGCTTCAAGGTTATAGAGATTTAATTCTATTTTTTAAATCTAGCATTTTGTTACTCATACTTTTTATTAAAACTTTTAAATGTTACCTAATTCAAATATGTAAATATTCATTGACAATCAACTTTATATTAAGAGCATCAAGTCATTTAGAAAGTCCAGGGTAGTGCCTAGACCTCTGTATAGTTATAAAACTTCAATAAACCTGATTTGCAATCTCAATTAAAAAACACTGACCTTGCCCTGACCAATTTGGCTCAGCAGTTGAGCGTCGGCCTGTGGACCAGAGAGTCCTGGGTTCAGTTCCCGCTAGGGGCACGTACCACCAAAAAAAAACAAAAAAAACAATGACCTAGCCCTGGCTGGGTGGCTCAATTGGTTGGAGTGTCATCCTGTACACAAAAAGGCTACAGGTTTGATTCCCTTTCAGGGCACATATCTAGGTTGTGGGTTTGATGCCTGGTCGGGTCTCCTACAGGAGGCAACAGAGTAATGTTTCTCACATCAATGTTTCATCTCTCTCTCCCTTTACCCCCTCTCTCAAAATCAATAAAAATATATCCTTGGGTGAGAATTAAAAAGAAAAGAAACACTGGCCTAGAAAATGCTAGATTCAAATTAAAGAAGTAAGGTTGTGGCCAACATTTTAATCACATTGAAATGATGACTGAAAACATATATAGCCATTGCCTAATGTCATCAGAAAAAGTACCACCAGGACTGTGATGAAGGAAAACTCTATGCAGGTGGTCAAGTTTAAAATAAATCAAATGTTGGGTATGTATGATAAATGAATTAGGCAAAAAGAATATTAAGAACTGATATTTGTTGAGAGTGATAAAAATGTTTAAGACTGGTCACTTACGCCCTGGCCGGTTTGCCTCAGCGGTTAGAGTGTCGGCCCAGGACTGGAGAGGCTCGGGTTCAGTTCCTGCTAAGGGCAGGTACCTCGGTTGCCGTTTGTCCCTGGCCCCGGTTGGGTTCGTGTGGGTGGCAACCACTCAATGTGTCTCTATCACATTGATGTTCCCCTCTCTCTCTTCCTCCTTCTCTCCCTCCCACTCTATATCTCAAGATAAAATGCAAAAATGTCCTCAGGTGAAGATTGAAAAAAAAGTTAAAAAAAAAAAAAAAGACTGGTCACTTACTGGGAAAGAACACTTTCAGTTGATGAGAGAAACAGTAATTAGGACAAGCTATGTGTCTGGCTGATAAAGGAAAACAAAATAGATTTAGAAAAGAAAAAGAATGTATTTCATTTATTATATCACTCAAAAATAATATCCTAAAGATGGATTTAAGTACTTATTAACAGAAGACAAGTTTAATGATGTATTTGAAGAGACCAACCTTCACAACCCCCATGCTATTACATATTATATTATTTAATATTTATATAATACAGTCCGAAAACTTGCATCTTTCCTTGGAAAGGTGATAAAGACAATGCTATTCATTTTTAAATATAAATATATAAAAGGAGCTATCCTTTAAATTCAATTAAAGGATTCCCATTAGTGATTTCTTCAGTAGTAACAATATAAAATATACTTAAAGACAAAGACCATTAGTCTATTATTAAATAAAAATCTGGTATTCAAATTAAAATTTTTCTTTGCCTATTCTTATTTAAGCAGAATATAAAAAATCTTAGGTTAAGAGTCAACTTTCAAATTTAAATTCTAATTAAGTGTGAGGATACACTTATACCTTCAGAAGCCTAAAAATGATTTTCAGTAATAGTTCTTTAAGAATAATATTTATATGCCTTATACAGAAAGAAAGAAAAAAAAAGAAAAAAACTTACTGATGTTCTTTGCTACTGACAAGTAAATACATGGCATTTTCTCTCCTAGAAAAGCATGTATCCTAAAAAAAAAGCATTGTGACCTAAAGAAAATTAATAGACAAAAACTTATTCATAGCTGATATTACCTTCACAAGCTAAAAAAAAAATATTTTTAATTACTGATTTTAGAGAGAAAGAACAGGAAGTGGGGAGGGAGAAAGAGAGATATCAACTTGTTGTTCCACTGATTTATGCATTCGTTGATTTTTGTATGTGCCTGACTGGAGATCAGACCAGCAACCGGGATGTCAGGACAACACTCTAACCAACAGAGCTACCCAGCCAGGGCCCAAGTTTAAAATATTTTTAAACCAACTAGCCAAACTTCATTTTCATATACTTTCCTAATTTTCATGCCATTATGTATTGTATCTTCTCTCCTCCAATTTTAACTATGAAAATGACAGAATACTAATTGGAGAGAGTTGAAAAAGGCTTATAAAGCGTCTTTATTCTCTAAGTGAGCACAGCTATTATGTGTTTTCATATTTGACCTCACTTTCTAAAAGTAAAATCATCATCTTATTATAAATCTTTCCCTATCAACAGAATGCTGAGATTTTTATTTCCATCATCACCAGTGTCAAGAAACAAAAGCAAATGAAAAAGATCTGCAAAGACTTTATAACAGCCAGGTTGAGATATCATATTCATTAACTGAAATGTCCACCTGTTAGTCCATTCTAATGATATTGTTAATATCGTTTTACAATATAAAAATTTCTATGGGTAGCATCTAGATACATCAGAATCTCCCGAAGTATATCTTTCCAGTGATTTTACTTAATGATTTTTAATTCAGTGGGCTAAACTGTTTAAAAGAGAAATATATTATTCAACCAATGGTTCTACTCTATTTGCTCATTTTAATAGATATACTTTAAGTTCTGTTTCTCTGCACTGTTGCTAGTATTCTCAAAGATTTCCCTCAAAATTCTACATTTTGGGTTATTTGTTGGGCAGAGTTATATACTGTGTAATTACACTGCTCTATATATATACTGTTAGGGTAGGTATCTAGGTATCTATTTTACTGTGAACAAAGTTGCCTACTTGTGCTATAAAATGAATACTGCTTGTTCAGTTCCTTCACCTAAAAAGCAGCAGAGTAAAAAACCATAAATTTAGGAAGTTTTCCTTGGTAATCTAAATCAAACTTTTTGTAATTTAAGCATCCAAAATAATTTCCCAAACCAGTATTAAGTGATCTTAAAAATAAAGAAGACATCCTTATACCAAAATATCTGGATAAATAAGTAAAAGAAAATTTCCTAAGATTTAATTTAATAAGTATTTTTTACAGATCAACATGTAAAACACCAAAAATCAATCATGTTAGTTCTGCTGACTTGAAACCACCTAAAAAATGTAAGATAAAAATGAAAACAGAATGAAATAAACTAATAGAAGCAATAAATGATAATTATCTCTATTGACTTGTTTTGAGACATTTTCACCACAAATTCCTTAAGTCCTCAAAAAGGAAACTTTCACATTTACATATGTTCTACAGTTGCTGCATCAGTTTATTTCAGTGTTATTTACCTAAAACGTAACTTTTTTACTCAATAAAACAGGAATTAAAATAATTAGGAAGAAAATTCTTCTGGTATATAACCTTTTATTAGTCCAGACTCAGCTCAAATCTACTCAAAAAGCTTCCCTACACCAGAATCCTTGACTTCTTATAATTTTTTCCTCACTCATAGCTATAAAGAAAAGGGTAGTAGATATTGTGGGCAACAGGAAAGAAAAGTTCAAAGGGAATTTTTTCAAAAATTCAATTAAGATGACATTTTGGATATAGGGAAATCAATGATTTGTGGACTGAAAAAGAATATTATTATTTTAAGAAGCTATTAGTATGGAAAATATTTTTTTCCTGATCACAGATTCCTTTAAGAAAGCCATGTAACCATTCATTCCTGAAAAAAAGTGCAAGAAATACACAAAATTTTCACACAATTTCAGGGGATTCATAAATGCCCCCAAACCTATGGAATCTCAAATTAAGGACACTAATAGTTGTAAAAGCTCTCTGACCTAACTTAAATAATTACTTTATAAAAGCACCAGGCTTCTCTTTTTGAATTCCAAAATAAATCTATCAACCTTTTACTATAAAATCTTGAATAATAAAAGCATAATGTAACATTTAGCTATGCATAATAAAATTAATCGTAATCCTAAAAGTTATACATAACATGAAATAGAAATGTGTATTTTTTAAAATTACTATATCTAAATGTCTAGTTTAAGTTATACATGTCTCTTCCATTCATTCATTACATGGAAGTCCTACTAAAAAATGTAGTATTAGGTATTATTGCTAAGTCTTCTAATTATCAGGGGAAAACAGAGTATTTGCTTAGTAAAGAAAAAGTCAAGAAATTCTGAACTTTGAAGATATAAATTGTGCTGCAAATGCTATAGAAAGGACCCAACTGTCAAAATCATAATCAGCATTTTCTACCTCTAGTTTCTCTTATTACTACTCAACTTTTATTTTTTAAGAATAATGCATTTCAATCAAATCTCACTAGACATTTGCTAAGTAGTAGTGGAATGAGCCAATGTACCAGTTTTAATAGTCTTATTTTCAACTTATCATAAAAACCTGAAATTTATACTGTTTTGAAAATCCAAGTATGCAAAGGATACCTTTAAAATATTATTTCCAATCAAGAGTTCCACAAGTAAATTGATTTTTTAAAAAATATGGTGGTCAGTAAACAGGAAAATGATTAACTAAATAATATATTAAAAGCCATGTCTTTCAACTGTCTTGTTATCTGTACTCTTTTATTAGATATAGCTTAAATATTGCTGTTTAAAATAATAAGCGTATTAAATTTAACTTTTTAATTTTTAGAAGTTCATTTTAAAAATGGATCCAATGATCATTAAAATGGACTACTAAATCTAATTAAATATATTTTCTTAAATCTTCGTGTGGACCAAGAATTAGTTAAAAAGATTGTATTCGATAATGTTAACCAGAAATAATATTTTAAAGGTAATTTAAAGTGAATAATAATACAACTAACATCTTTATACACATACCATATCAAATTCTGGTAATCCCTAAGTGATTATCAGGGATAAAAACCCTGAAACATTTCTGATAGTTGATAGGTGTGGTTAAAGTGACAAAGTAGAAAACTGAATTTCAGTTACCCAATGACAGAAGATGGAAATAACAATCACTTGAAATCTTGGGTATTATATTCAGTTTCTCCAGATGAAATCTGACTGAGCCGCTTACTAGATCCCCACAATTTTCGAGAAAGCTGACCCGAACGCATCTGTTTAAAATAATCCAGAGAAATGAAGAATAATTGTTATTAAGGAAAAAAAGGAATAAATAAAATTGATAAAAATGACATTAATTTTGTATAATGCAGAAAATATGTTTTGTTAACATTTTAAAGGCTTCACTACATTGAATGTCTTTCAGTTGAGAATGGTCTAATGCCAATGTAAATTTTTAAATTAAATGCACCAGTTATGTCAAAATTACCAGACTCCCTTACTTTATATATTAACAAAAATGTATTTCACATCATTAAAATGATCTTTTCAAATTATATTTAATCTAGCTAAGAAGATACAAAGTTCAGGGATTTTCTCCTCTTGTATGCAGTACTATTAATGTCAATCACAAGAATAAGAAATAACATGTTTTGATGAAAATAAATTTGTAATATTTGATATAAAAATTTTAAACACTATTTAATAATAAAATGATAAAAAGTAATTTAGAAAACAAGAACAGCAACAATTCTTTAATGATAAATTCACATATTATCCACCATTAGATTTGTACCACCTAAAACATTTCTCAGCATATAACAATTATTAAAGGTTATTTTTTATTAATTAAATATTATTAACTGAGTCAGTGAATAAATTCCCTTCTAAAAATGCTTATACTTCTAGACAGGTTAAAAACAAACAAACACCATGTGGGAAACATTTCTCCATCTAACTATATGATTTGTTGGAATTACTTTCCCAAGTGCAATCTACTTTTTAAATGGTGATGAGTCTGTCAGGCCGGTGTGGCTAAGTGGTTGAGTGTCCACCCATGCACTAAGAGGCCACCAATTCCATTCCCAATCAGGACACATGCCCAGGTTGTGGGCCCAATCCCCAGTTGGGGGCGTGCAGGAGGCGTCCAATCAATGTTCTCTCTCATCGATGTTTCTCTCTCTCTCTCCCTCTTCCTTGCTCTCTCTCTAAAATCAATAAAGGAAAAAGAAATTTTTTAAAATAAAATGAAATAAAATAAACGGTGATTAGTCTGCCATCCTTGTTTAATAGTTATTTTTCTAGGGTACATTTACTGGAGTGATAAAAGACAAGCCTCATGCAAAGACACTATGGCATGCTGATTTTGCATTTTTGTTTCCAGATGTATTTTCAGAAATGTATTTCCATTCATCTATTACCACTTTACTCTCTAGTTTATAAATATACATTTCATACTCACAGTATAGTATATAAAACTGATACATGTTTTAAAAATACACATCAAGATTTTTATCTTTTAAATAATGAGCTTAAAATAGAAATTTTTTCATAACTATTTAACTTCTACATTGTCATACAGCAATATTCTAAGCATTCAATTAGATTATTTACTAAAGTAGATCCATAATTCAGATCCATAATTACATCCAAAGATGTAAAAAGATTAAAAAATACTTTTATTCAAAACCTACACACAATTCAGATTCTGTGTGTTACAGTCTACATAAATCTTTCAAGAGGACAAAAACTAATTTGATGAATACTACATAACACTGATTTAGATCTATAAAATGAAGCTGCTTAGGCATTTTTTCCCCCAATCAATTTTTTAAAAAAAATGTGGGCCCATATGATCATTTTATTTGTAAAACTTCAATAAAATCAGAAACTGACAAATTACTTACTATTAGGGGAGGGGGCAGGCAAATTTAAAGGCACTTGGACAAACCACTCAAAGAGTAAAGTCTGAGCAGAGTTTTTAAGTAATCTCATTAGCAGAAGGTAGGAGGGCAGTATTTATTTGGGAAATTTATTAATCAAGAAACTATTACTGTTGAATGGAAGAATGCTTAAAATGTTTTACATATGAGTGAAATACCAAAACAAAGACTTACTATCATTACATCTGAAACTAAATATTGTTGCAGTCACTTTAATATACTGAAGAATATAACTAATGAAATCTTAAGATATTTATGAAAAGGTTTTTATGATTTTTTTATAAATTTTCTTTACTGATTTGAGAGAGAGAAGGGAGAGGGAGAGAGACAGACACATCAATGGCAGAGAACATCCACTGGCTGGCTCCTGCATGCCCCAACTAGGGGGTCAGGCCCACAACCAGGGCACGTGCCCTGGATGGGAATCGAACCAGTGACCTCTGGTCAGGTTCCTATGATTTGTCATAGTTTAATATATGCACTGACAGTGTGTTATTCAGTAATGTCTTCTCTTGAAAAAGCCTCTACAGATGTATTTTAGATTTCTCAGGGGGAAAAAAAATAAAAAATTTATAATGCTTACTTTGATAGTATTTAACAATAAATTTTCTAGAATAATCACTAAATTTACATGGCATGCCTACTACTAAGTTTTCAAGAACAGCATCAGATTTATGATATCTGAATATTCAGTAATTGATAAACTATTAGCAAATAAGTTCACAGTGACTATAGGAAATTCATTGAAAATTGGCATATAAAAGGGGGATATTTATAGTTCCACGTAAAAAATGATGCTTTTACAGAAGGACAACTAATATATAGCCATGCTGGGCATTTGTTGAAATATAGTTTTATACAGGTTAGTTTTGCATGTTCTTGAACGTCATATAAATGGAATCATTCAGTATGCGCTCTTTTATGTCTGCCTTATTTCGCTAAGCATAATAATTTTAAAAATTTATGTTGTTACATGTTCCTTTTATTGCTGGGAGTATTCCACTGTAAAATTATCCCAAAATTCACTTCCCAGTTGGCAGACACTTGAATTATTTCCAATTTGAGACAATTATAAATAAAGCTAATATGAAAATAGAGTGGTTTGTTAGTCTATATTTTTCTTTATTTTTAAACTCACCTGAGGATATTTTTGCATTTATCTTCAGATACAGTGGGAGGGGGAGAGGAGGGAGAGAGGAGGGAAGTGAGAGAGAGAAAGAGAAACATCGATGTGAGAGAGACACATCGACTGGATGCCACCCACATGACCCCAACCGGGCCAGGGACAAACTGCAACCAAGGTAAGTGCCCTTAGCGGAAACTGAACCCAGGACTCTCTGGTCTGCTGGCTGATGCTCTCACTGCTAAGACAAACCAGCCAGGGCTATATTTCATTTTTTATAAAGGCTTTTATTTACTCAAAATCCAAGAAGTGGTCTTAAATCTAAATTTGGAAAGATAGAGAATAAAAGAACTTTCTTATTCTTATAGAGTGACAGATAGAAACTTCCAAATGTGTACTTTCAATTATATCATAATATAAGCATCTCTCTTGAATACTAACTTTAACTTCTTTTTTTATTGCCCTTTGAAAATCAAATTTTTAAAATTTGTTTATTCATAACAGATATTTTTGATTCAGTTGGAACAAAGGAGAGCCAAAGGAATCCCCCACAGTACGAGAAATGAAATTCTTGACTAGGTTTTACCTCAGCTGGCTTGCCAACACCCACTACAATCAATTTGCCATCTTCTAATCCTACCAGAATATGGCTGTATTCTTTGGTTACACAAACACAGTGTATAGGCAGTCTCATGGCTAATGGGGTGATGCTGAGATTCAAACTAGAAGAGAAATAAAAAACACACACACATAATTACATGGATATATAATAGATTCTTAGAATTTTATACCTGAAAGTTAAGTTAATGATAAACTAGTTCTGCATTTTAATTTTACATATATGGGATTTAGGTTCAGAAAGTCTGAATGCCTCACACAAGGGTCCACATTTATAGCATTTCTTAAAATAATTAACAGATCTTTTCTTTAATCTCAACATCTGTTTTTCTTCTAAACCTATGAGCTCTCACTAAATGATTTTTATCTTGTTGATTAACAAATTAAAGTTGGATAAAAGGGGCAAAAGATGAAAAAAATGTGTGTGGAGGGGGATAAAGTAAAAAAAAATGGTCTATTTACTTTGTCTTAAAAGACATATAAAAAGTATAGAATATAAAATATAATATATACTTAAAATATGATGTGAAATACAATATACCATTATGAAAAATTCCTACAGCTTTTATAATTAGAAAAGAATCCTATAATGTGATTAATATGTTCTACACTAACTGCTAAAATATCCCACTGATTTATCTAATTTGAGATTTCCTTAACAATACGCTGAAATTAGAGTTGTAAAACAAAATGCTGGAACAATATGATAAAAAGGGATGTTGGTATAGGAATGATTCTGATTGAATGCAATAAGATAGAACATCTTGAATCAGGAAATAATTTATTTTAAAAAAAGGAATTTTGGAAAGGTCAAGATAGTTCGAGGAATATAAATAAGCCACAATAAGTTTTTTAAGAGAAAAAAGAATGTATGTGAACATATAGGAAACATAAAACATAACCACTATTCAAACATCTTTCTCTTTCATTGTATTAAATAAGATTCTCCACCAATTTTATCCACACACATACTCAATGATAAACAAATACATGAGCCTTAAAATACTTTGTTTTGTTTCTTTTAACCACAAGTTAAAACACATTTTTTAAAACCCTAACTTTAGTTTGTAAAAATTCAAACTGTAATTGGACAAATTTCCAAATCTATAATCCAGGATTGTATAATCTACTTAGATATTTTTAAAAAACTTTTCAATTGTGGTAAAATATATGTAGCATAACATTTTCTACCTTTAAAAATATACATCTATAGTTCATTTACTAATCCAGGAATAAATTAGCTTCTCCATTTTTGTTTTTCATTGTTGCCAAAAAAGACATTCATAATAAATGATAAACCAAAAGATTAGAAATTGTAAATTGTTGATTTTCACTCTAGGTTGAAAGTACTACGCATTTCACCCTGGCCAGTTTGGCTCAGCAGTTAGAGCATCGGCCCGCGGACCAGAGTCCAGGGTTGGGTTCCTGCTATGGGCACGTACCTCAATTGCAGTTTGTCTCCGGCCCTGCCGGAGGCAGCCACTCGATGTGTGTCTCTCATGTCAATGTTCCTCTCTCTCTCTTCCTCCCTCTCTCCCTCCCGCTCCATCTGAAGATGAATGCAAAAGTGTCCTCGAATGAGGATTAAAAAAAAAAAAAAAAGTATTACCCATTATAAAGTGATACTTCAATGATTATTATTATTTACCTGTGTAGATCTCTTATGGACAGGAACCCTTGTAAACTACCCATGACAATGTGTTCTCCAATTATGCATATATCTGACACTTGTTCCTCCTTCAGGACTTGAGATCCTAGATACTTTCCATTTACAGAAAATAGATGCAATGCATTCTTATCCTGCAGAGATTAGATGGAAGTTTAATGATCTCAATTGAAAACCGAGTTTTAATAATGTTAATTAAAACTATGACTATAACAGAATGATTATCAGATTTAAAATATTGGAATAAATGCATGGTTATATTTAAAGAGAAAGTGTGTAGGCAATATTATAAAAGTGATTTCAAATCAGACTGTCAAGTATATAAATATTAAATAAGAACTCTTACTCCTCCAAAATAATTAGAATTACATCCAGTCCAAAAAGAAACTCTACATTCTTAACACAAAACAAATTCTCTTAATTTTTAAAAAGCTTTATCATTGCCCTGCCCAGTTTGGCTCAGCGGTTAGAGCGTCAGCCTGTAAACCAGAGAGTCCCGGGTTTGATTTCCGCTAAGGGCACGAATCTCAGTTGCAGTTTGTCCCCAACACCGGTTGGGTTTGTGTGGGTGGCAATCACTTGATGTGTCTGTCTCACACATTCATGTTTCTCTCTCTCTCTCTCTCTCTCTCCCTCTCTCCTTCCCACTCTATCTAAAGATAAATGCAAAAATGTCCTCTGGTGAGGATTTAAAAAAATAAAATAAAAGAGCCCTGGCCAGTTTGGGTCAGCAGTTAGAGTGTCAGCCTGCAGTCCAGAGAGACCCGGGGTTTGGTTCCCGCTAAGGGCACATACCTCAGTTGAAGTCTGTCCCTGGCCCTGGTTGGGTCATGTGAGTGGCAACCACTCCATGTGTCCCTTTCATGTCAATGTTTCTCTCTCTCCCTCTCTCTCTTCCTCTCTTCCTCCCACTCTATCTGAACAAAAACAAAAAACAAAAAAAAAGAAAAAGCTTTATCACTGAAAGGAAAGTAATCATAAAATTCATGGCTTGTTTATTTGTACCCTGCCTTGGCAAAAAGAATTAATTTTCTCATAATTTTCACTTAACCTTATAAAGTCCCACATAATCAGAAATTATTTTTGAAATCATGTACTATATAGGCCTGTAGAAATCCCTAAAACAAAATACAAACACAAGGTCAAGATTATGATAGGGTAAGGTAATGGTAAGGAATGAAGAAATTGAATGATGAAAGGAAAACATCCTTTTTAAAATACAATTTTCTTTCCTTCCTCAAAATGATTGATATATATAATGTGGGAAGGAAAAGATAAGCTTACATCTAGCCCAATTGCATGAAACTGTTAGATACCTTGAGGGTGGTCTTTTCTTCAAAACTGGAGTAGATGACAATATGTCCTTCCCAAGATATAGCCAAATTGGGAATGGTCAGGAGCAGAGAACTCTCACAAGGTGGTCGTAAAGTCCTCATGTACTGACCTTTCTGAATAGTATGTATAATCACAGTGCCATCCTACACACAGAAAACATTAGAAAATGAAAAAGACAAAGAAAAACACCACCAAAATAGAAAAAAAGAAAATAGACTGGATAAAGAAGTATGGGAAAGAAACTGAAAAAGTGATTATTCCACTAAGGACACATGTACTTTAGGAAAAATTCCAATCTTGAAATTTCAAATAGTATTTTATTTCATAAAATGCCCTTTACTCCTAACTGATAAGACAAGTTAGTTTCCAAAATAAAATTGTCTCTTTAAGTTTGTTCTTTTGGCAGTTTTCTACTTCTGTCAAGTCCTACACGTAGTAAAAAATTTCTATACCTTTATCAATTTCCCTACCAAATTTTAAGTACAAATATTACTCTAGCCCTGACCAGGTGGCTCAGTTGGCTGAAGTGTCATTCTATACACCAAAATGTTGCAGGTTCAATTCCTGGTCAGGGCACATATTTAGGTAGTGGGTTCAATCCCTAGTGGAGGCAATGGATCAATGTTTCTCTCTCTCCCTCTCCCCCTTCCTTTCTCTCTAGAGTCAAAAACATATATGTGGGTAGGGATTAAAAAGATACATACACACAAACACACACACACACACACACACACACACACACACACATATAGCTTCTAAATTTATAGAAAAACATAGCATTTTAAAAAGGTAAAATCTTACCTTTGATCCTGACACTGCCATGTCTAGCTCAGTGCTGATGCCGACACTTAATACCTCATCAGTGTGTCCGTACAGAATCTGAAAGGGTTTAGATGCTAAGCCCACAGGAACACCTCCCTAATAGTCAAAAAAGAAAAAAAAAAGTAGTTTTCTTGTAGGATATTTTCTGTTCAAAGATTTATGCTGTATTTTTTTTTTTTTTATCCTCATCCGAGGACACTTTTCCATTTTTTGTTCAGATAGAGTGGGAGGGAGAAAGAGAGAGAGAAACATCGACGTGAAAGGGACACATCGAGTGGTTGCCACCCGCACAACCCAACCAGGGCCGGGGACAAACTGCAACCGAGGTACATGCCCTTAGCGGGAACCGAACCCAGGTCTCTCTGGACCACAGGCCGACACTCTAACCGCTGAGCCAAACCGGCCAGGGCTATGCTGTATTTATTCATCTATTTTTCTTTATTGATTTTAGAGAGTGAGGAAGGGAGAGGGAGAGAGAGAAACATCAATGAGAGAGAACACTGACTGGCGGATTCCAGCATGCCCCCCACTAGGATATGGCCCATAACCTGGGCATGTGCCCTGACCAAGAATCAAACCAGTGACCACTATGTCTTCTTTTAGGACTTTTATGGTTTCATGACTTACATTTAAGTCTTTTATCCATTTAGAGTTTATCTTGTATATGGCGTAAGTTGGTGGTCTAGTTTCATTTTTTTGCATGTAACTGTCCAATTTTCCCAACATCATTTATTGAAGAGATGTCTTTACTCCACTGCATGCTCCTGCCTCCTTTGTCAAATATTAATTGACCATACTAGCATGGGTTGATTTCTGGGCTCTCTGTTCTGTTCCACTGATCTATATGCTTGTTCTTATTCCAGTACCTGGCTGTTTTTATTACAATGGCTTTGTAGTATAGTTTGATATCTGGTATTGTGATACCTCCAACTTTGTTCTTCTTTCTCAAGATCATTGCAATTATTCAAGGTCTTTTTGGTTCTATACACATTTTTGGACTATTTGTTCTAGATCTATTAAATATGCCATTGTCATTTTATTAGGAATTACACTGAATTTATAGATTGCTTTTTTATTATGTTACTATTAGTTATTTTCTTCCAGAAGATTATTCTTTCCTTCATCTGCTTTTGGCATGCAATGTTTGTATATTACTTCCTATGATATAGAATGTTTGAGTAGTTACCATGGTATTTGTGCTATGATTATCCTAGATAACTCTGTCTACGTCTTCTATCAGCACTACATTATGTGGATGAATTCCCCTTGACACACTATTACCTGGGACACATTTGTCTTTCTGTAAGTGTGTCTGACTTAGTGCCCTCTATCCAATTTTTAAAAATCAGATTATTCCTATATTATTTAAGCAACTGAAGTTACAGAAAAGATGGACTCTTCTCAAATTTATTTTATAAAGACTGGACATCCCAGTATTAAACATAGTAAAGACAGAACAAAAACATATTTCACTTACAAGTAGGGAAATAATTAAAGCACTAGCAAATACCATCCTACAGTAAAATATAACAATATACCAGGAATTATATGGGTTCATTGTAAGATGTCAAGGACAGTTCAACCTAAGACATTTCTCAACATAATACATTACATCAAGAAAAAGTAGAGGAAAACTATAAATAAAAAAAGGAAGAGCCCTGGCCAGTTTGGCTCAGCGGTTAGAGCGTCGGCCTGCGGTACAGAGAGACCTGGGTTCGGTTCCCGCTAAGGGCACGTACTTCGGTTGCAGTTTGTCCCCGGCCCTGGTTGGTCGTGCGGGTGGCAGCCACTCGATGTGTCCCTTCATGTCGATGTTTCTCTCTCTCTCTCCCTTCCTCTCTCTCCCTCCCACTCTATCTGTACAAAAAATGGAAAAATATCCTCGGGTGAGGATAAAAAAAAGGAAGATACACTGAGAAAAAATAGCTGCAAAGGACACTACTGGGGCTACTCACAAAACTAGAACATGGACTATGGATTAGATAATGATATTGTATAAATGCAAGTGTTCTGATTTTTATAACTGCATTGTTATGTATAAGAAAGTTTTAGTTCTTAAAAATGTAAAGTGTCTAGGGGTAAAGGAACATGTCTCAAACTTTAAAATTGTTTTGAAAAAAATAGGATGCTAGGTGGGGAAAGAGAGACAGAAACAGAGATAGAGAGACTAGGATAATGAAACAAATGGGTGGAAAGAATGTACTATTTTTGTAACTTTTCTGTAAATTTTATTAAAACTAAAAAGTTACCAAAAGAAAAAAAATAGGAGGGTAACTACTTAAATATTAAAAAAACACAACCAGTGAAACCCAACAGGAAACGGTATACTAAATGGCATAATAGTGAAGGCATTTCATCAAAATCCGACATAGGACAGGAAAGCTCACCACAATTTTCTTACCTAATTTACATTAGCTAATAATATAATAGGATAAGAAAATGAAATAATTAATACATTGGGAAAGATTTTTAAAAATACTTTTATTTTTAGATTATCTTATTTTCAAAAAAGCCAAGAAACAGCAATAATTATGAGTGGTGAGAGCTGGATAAGAGGATTTGGTAAAACAATTACTTACAGCCCTGGATGGTTTAGCTCAGCCGTTAGTGTCGCCCCAAGGACCGAAAGGTCACAGGTTCAATTCCTGGTCAAGAGCATGTACTTGGGTTGCACGTTTGAACCCAGCCCTGGTTGGAGTCATGCGGGAAGCAACCAATTGATGTGATTCTCTCCTCTCTCTCTCTCTCTCTCTCTCTCTCTCTCTCTCTCTCTCCCCCCCTTCCTCCCTCCCTCCCTTCCTCCTTCCATCCCTCCCTCCCCTCCCATCCATTCTAAGAAGCAATGGAAAAATATCCTCAGTGAGGAAAAACAAAATTAGTTACAAAATAACTGTATAGAAATTGAAAGTTTTTTTCAATATCAGTGATAATCAGTTGGAAAACAATGATTAAAAAAAATTTCACCAAACAGTAATAAAAATATGATAATTAGAAGTAAATATAACAAAGTAGAAGACTTAAAATTTCAAAAAATTATCAAACAATTTTATCAATGGTTATAAAAAAAATGACCTGAAATAAATATGTAAAGATATTTCTCATTTCTAGACAGGAATAGTCTCATGAAAATGTCAATCAAAACCAAATAACATAAACATTTAATATAATTACATTAAAACTAAACCAGAGTTTTTTGAGAAGTATATGGTTAAAATATCTTTAAAGTTTATATGAATGAATAATACCCATAAGAGTGGCTGAGAATATTTTTTAAAAAAAGGAAACATAGTGAGGGGAGATTTGCCTTACACCAGATATTAAACAACTAAAATGAAAACACTTTAGTGCTGACAAAGAAATAGATAAATGCAAAAGAATGGGTAATCAAGAAAAAGATCCAATTTAGTGGATAATATTTATGTTGGCATAAATGACCTTCCACCCAGAAATAAACAAAATCATACATTGTATTTTATAGAATACAGAATATAAAATATATGCACATAATATAATAGTATATACTTTATATAACATAGAAAAATTAATTACCGATTCATTAAAGATTGAAATGTAAAACAAAAAAAGTATTACAAGAGAATTTTTAGTTAATATTTTAATAAATTTGGAGTGGGAAAAAGCCTGTTAAATAAAGTAGAAAATCCAAAAGCTATGTAGAAAATCCAAAAGTAAGTGTCCTTGAACCAACATTATTATGAGAGTACAATAAGGTTGATGAAAATGATAAATCTATATTTCTAGTAGTCCCACTGAAAGGAAAATAGGAATATTATGTTAACAGGACAAGAAAAATAACTGTTTTCCTAGAAGAAGTTAACAAGGAGTTTTTGGAAAAAAACAGGGCATAAAGGTCAAGAATCAGACAATAAACCTAGGGAAAAATGTGGTGATTTAGGACAGGATAGAATGAGGGTAAAATAGTGCAAAGAAGCTCAAATAATCATTCAATTCCAGCGAACAATTCACTATTCTATTAGAACATTTCAACAGTATTCCTAGGGTGACTCTGATCTAAACAGGGTATTTAAATGGGTAACTACCTGTTGTGTTATTTGCCATATCATACATGTAGTATCTCTGGAACCAGAAATCAAATGTATTCCACAGTAATCTGTAGCTAAACAGGTCACAATATCTGTAAGGAAAAAAGATTTTTTAAATATAAAATGGCTTTGTTTTGCTGGAACAGAACAGAGCAATTTTAGTTTATGCTCAAATTATTACTAAATCAGTTGTTCTAATGGAGAAATATAGGGCTGGCAATGAAAAAGAGTGACACAGTATTAAAATCACATAAGAGACCTTTCTTTGAGGCTACCATTCTTTGAGGGAGAAGTACAGACATGGTGTGAGGGAATGCCTGTCAGAATCTTGGCAGGAGGTCTGGTAGCATGAAATAAAGCCCCAGTAAAATTTTTTTTTTTTTTATCCTCACCTGAGGACATTTTTCCATTTTTTTGTTCAGTTAGAGTGGGAGGGAGAGAGAGAAACATCAATGTGAAAGGGACACGCTGAGTGGCTGCCACCCGCACGACCCAAGCAGGGCCAGGGACAAACTGCAACCAAGGTACATGCCCTTAGCGGGAACTGAACCCAGGTCTCTCTGGACCACAGGCCAACGCTCTAACCACTGAGCCAAACCAGCCAGGGCCCCAGTAAATTTTGATATGCTTCTCTGCTCTCTCATTCCCATTCACCTTCTACTCCCACTTGGAACTTCAATCCTATACAACAGGTGACCTTAACCAACATAGCACATGTTACACCATACATTCACAATATAAAATACATTTTCCCTAAATTGTAAAATCCTGAGCTAAGTGACATCTTAGTACAGAATTAGTAGCAGACTCTATTCCCTTTCCTATTAGGTTTATTAGGGTGAAATCTACTTGTTTTATTCTTATATTGAATACCAAGACACTAAATTTAAAAAATACCAGGTTAAAGAACATTCAACAATTTACCTCTTCCATGTTTTACTGTTAACAAAGTAATATAGGGCAGTCGATGTATTATTCAACTCTGACTTTTTTTTTACCCTTTTGTCTTAAAATTCTTATTTCTATCAACCAATTAAAATCTTAGCCTAATATCTTTAAGATACTACAAAGCTATATTTAATTTATATGGTGCTTAATATACCCAAAATATATTAGACACTCTTAAATAAACCATGTAATATTCATAACACTGCTCTATAGAAAAGTTCACTCAGTTTCAAAGGTAAAATGTAATTTTGTCTAAGTATGTACTACTTTTTTATAACTTCTATAGTCAGAAAAGCCAGAGATAATTTTTTTTGTTTTTGGGGAAAAAAAGTGAACACTTACCCATATGTCTGATATTGTGTGAAATAATTTTGCCTTTTGTAAGTGACATCACTTGAATGCTGTTATCCCAGTGTCCAGCACTGAAGAGCAACTTGGCATCATGTGAGACTATAAATAGCTTAGAAGTAATCTCCAGTCCTGGAGCAAAAGGACCATTCAGACTACGCTGAGTTCTGTAAACACAACTAAATATTAGACTTTTCCTTCAAAGATCACTTAGACTTAACTACTTTTTTATTTATTTATTTTTTTCTGTGTGTGGTATGTGCCCCTATCAGGAACCGAACCCGGGATTCTCTAGTCCGCAGGCTCACGCTCAACCACTGAGCCAAACTGGCCAGGGCTTAACTACTTTTTTAATGTCTCTGACAAAAATAAAAAATTAGTCTGTTCAACCTTCAATTTGAAATGTCTATTAATAAATGATAAAACTCTTAGAAACACATTAATCTTACTTTATTCATACTTTTCATGAAATAAAATTTTATATAACAAAGCCTCAAGGATTAAGCATAAAAAAATTAAGATTGCTAAAGGTGTCAAAAAGATTTAAATCTTGTTTTTCAAAGCCAATTAGTGAAACCATCAATTCTGTAAATAGCAGCCTCAAACTACAGGGTGGGTAAAAGGTTTACAGTCATAACACATAAATAATATAATAATTAATAAATAATACAAGAATAAACTGTTTGATATACTCACAACTGTAAACCCATTTTGGCCCACCCCTGTGTAAAAAAAAGAAAGCATATACCAGGACCAGGAAAATCAGAAATACTCTGAAACTAGGGATCTACTACACAGGCAGAAAAATGTGTATCTAAGAATACCCATGAAGATTATTTTCCATTCCAACCAAAGAAAGCATTTGAGTTTAATCTGCTTCCCACTCAAATACCTGTGCACTTAGCCAATATAAATTCTGCAGAAAGACAGAGAAGTGATTATACTTCAGTGTGTGTTATGGTAAATGAGGGTCAATTCTGACATTTCATTCAGTTCTTTTTTTTTTTTTAATTAACTAATTTATTTTTGTTACAGATGTTTCTCCATTTTCCCCCACTGATCCTTCCTTCCCCCTTCCACACCCTGTCCCCAGCTTTGTTGTCCATGTCCATTGTTCATGCATACATGCATATAAGTTCTGTGGTTTACCTCTCCCCCAAAACCCCCTCTTCTGGGGATTGTCAGTCTGTACATTTCTTCCACATCTCTGGGACTACCCCATCCTTCAGACTGTTATGTTCATTATATTCCACAAATAAGTGAGATCATGTGACATTTGTCTTTCTGTTTGGCTTGTTTTGCTTAGGATACTACTTTCCAGGTCCCTCCATGTCATCTCAAAGGATAAGAGATCTTTCTTTCTCACAGCTGCATAGTACTCCATTGTGTATATGTACCACAGCTTTTTGATCCATTCGTCTACTGATGGACATTTGGGCTATTTCCAGATCTTAGCTATTGTAAATAGTGCTGCTACAAACATGGGGGTACATATATCCTGATTGGTGTTTCAGTCTTCTTAGGGTATATTCCTAGAAGTGAGATCACTGGGTCAAATGGTCTCATTCAGCTCTTGACCATTATCATTCAATATTAGTTTGCTGAAAGTATGCTTTGTGCAAAGCACAATAGTATTAAGGCCTATGTGGGACTGCCCCTAACAAACATACAGCTAAAACAATTCAAGAGTAAGGGAAACATCACCTGAACTTAGAATATAAACTTCAGATATTTTAAAAGATAATTAAGGTATATATAAAGTCTTATTACATGAAACACATTGAGTCTTATTTGTAGATAATAATGAACAATAAAAATACAATTAGGTCTAAAAACTATTCCTAATAATTTTTGCTTCCATAATGGTATGATAGAAATTGTTTTGTCTTTAAGTCAATGTCAAATTAGGGGAAGGGAGGAAGGAAGAAAAGAAGGAAGAAGGAAGGAAGAAAAGAACGGGGGGGGGAGGGAGGGAGGGAGGGAGGGAGGGAGGGAGGAAGGAAGGAAGGAAGGAAGGAAGGAAGGAAGGAAGGAAGGAAGGAAGGAAGGAAGGAAGGGAGAGAGGAAAGAAAATCTAGATGTATACAATATTACTTGCAAAATAAAACCAATCAATCCAGTTGTTTGTCTTGGCAGTAAGGTATTATACCTGATTTGCTTTAAATGTTCATTTACTTACTTTGGATTTGTCACAGTTTGATCCTTGAAGAATGTAAAGTAATTAGAAATGTTTCTGTCATAAGGCAGCCATCCATGGGTTCCAATAACATAATTCATGCTCACTGTTACCTAGAAAAAGAACATATGAAGATGAAAATGAAATGCAAGATTAAAGAAAGCAACCTAGAATAACCAAATGCTTACATGATGTAATCAGAAGTAGAATTTATGATAAATTGTTAAGATCTCCCTTCTTAGCGACAATCATAGTGAATATTTTCTTTTAAAAATGAAAAGATTTTCCGCTATGATGATAAAAGTAGAAGATACCAAAAAGAAAAAGCAGATATCTTTTAAAAATACAGGTATTAAATCTGGAAAAAAAAAAAAAATCACAAGAATTCTACCACTCAAAAAGGACTACTATTATTTTTGTATCTTATGCATAATTAGAAAAATAGGTCTAATTCTGGAATCTCTACTGTTCACTCTGCTATACTCAATTTTTATAATTTCTAAGTGACAAAACTGGAATAAGACAGCCCTAGGTTTGGTCCATATGCCAGGGTCCCAGATCCCTTACTTGCTCACTCTGGGCCTTTCAGCAAGTTACTTCTGAGTTTTAATTTCTCATCTATAGAGGAGAAATAATAATACTGCCTGTCCTACAGGATATTTAGATGGATTAACAGATAAAATTCATGTATAGCATATCCTGCATGTAAATTATTATCAATTCTGTATTATTTCTCATTTTTATAATTATTACTGCTGCATAATAAATTTTAATATCTAGTAAGATGTTATGTCCTATTTTTCTTGTACAAAATTTTCTCATATTTATTATTCCAGATAAACTTTAAAATTATAGTAACTACTTAAAAGCTGTGTAAATGAGCCCTGGCCGGCTTGGCTCAGCGGTTAGAGCGTCCAGAGAGACCCGGGTTCGGTTCCCGCTAAGGGCATGTACCTGGATTGCAGTTTGTCCCCGGCCCTGATTGGGTCATGTGGGTGGCAGCCACTCGATGTGTCCCTTTCACGTCAATGTTTCTCTCTCTCTCTCTTCCTCTACTCTATCTGAACAAAAAATGAAAAAATGTCCTCGGGTGAGGATAAAAAAAAAAAAAAAACCTGTGTAAATGAAAAATACATTTTTATACTTGGTCAAAAATCTATAAAAAATTTCTCTTTTTTAAAGGCCTTTAAAATTTTTTTATTTTCTCAATTTTTTTGTAAGTTATAATAGATATATAGGTGTGTGTGTGTGTGTGTGTGTGTGTATATGCCAGATGCTATTCTAAGAACTCTATATGACCATATATATATGGCAGTGTGAAAAAGGTATAAATCAACTTACCAGTAATTCAGGACTGCCTTGAGACATAAAAGAACGAGACTGATTTTTGGGAACAATGGCCTTTATTAGTGGAATACCATCACTAATTCCCTATAAAATAAAAGAAAGAGGTTTAGTGGCTGATTCTGCTTATTTTCATTAGGCATAAACTATTAAAAACTGTTTCTTTAAACAAGAATGAACCCTGTGATATAGAATTTTACTCTATCAAAACATATCATTGTTTAATTAAAAAATGTAGGCAAGAGCCCTGGCCAGTTTTGCTTAGTGCTTAGAGCGTCAATCCGCAGACCAGAAAATTTCAGGCATTTACTTTGGTTGTGGGTTTGATCCCCAGCTCTTGTCCGGGTCATCGGGAGGCAACCAATCAACGTGTCTCTCTCACATCGATGTTTTTCTCCCTCTCTCTCTCTCTTTCCGTCCCTTCCAGTCTGAAAAGCGATGGAAAATGTCCTCGGTTGACAAAAAAATAATAATTATAAAATAAAATAAAATGTAGGAAAGATATTATATACCACGTTTGAATGGCATACTTGAAACTTCTGAAACCCATCACCTTCTGGTATTCCACTACTCTGCTGTTAAACAAAGATACAACTTTCGCCCTGGCTGGTTTGGCTCAGCGGTTGGAGCGTCGTCCTGTGGTCTGGAGAGACCTGGGTTCGGTTCACGCTAAGGGCACGTATCTCGGTTGCAGTTTGTCCCTGGCCCTGGTTGGGTCGTGCGGGTGGCAACCACTCGATGTGTCCCTTTCACATTGATGCTTCTCTCTCTCTCTCCCTCCCACTCTATTTGAACAAAAAATGGAAAAATGTCCTGAGGTGAGGATAAAAAAAAAAAAAAAGATGTAAATTTCAAGGAGCATCAATTATTTAGGATCATTGCTTTCTGCTAGTCATACCGACATAAATATAAAGTAGAAAAATAAAAACCATATAAAAGTACATTTCTCATATAAGTCAAATGGGAAAACTAGTAATAAAGAAATTTCCTTTTGGGTTTAGCTTTCAAAAAATAGATCTAGTCCATTAACTGAGACAGTCCCTGAAAGCCACAATAGGACCAGAAAATAAAGGTAGTCCTCAGAAAACATCTGCTATTATCTTATTACATTGTGAAGGAGAACAATGAGTGGAACTAAGTCTCTTGATGTGACAATAGTTCATAAATTATATTTAACATTTATTAGGTAAATGATAACCTAACATTATTGGGTACATACTATGTGCCAGGTGCTATTCTAAGAACTCTATATGACCTAAATAGTGACTTATATACCATATGAAGTAAAAAATGATTAGATATGATGAAAATAGTTTTATCAGCATTATATAATATATATAGTATTACATGTCCATCAGATTATGGGTAAATAGGGTGTTATGGGTTGCCCTATATGCAGTAAAGAGTTAACACAGCAGGACTGAGACTGCTCTCCTTGGAAAGGCCTGCCTGCAAGGTTGGTCCATTGCTGGCATCTGGGAACCTGGTGAGAAAAGAGTTCCTTATACTGATTTAAACCTTGACCTCAATTAGGGTGGCTCAATATGCCTACACTCTTTGTACAAAGAATATGGCTTATGCTGAACAACTGCTTTTCTTCTGAGAGTCTAAAATTTTGGCGTGGTATGTAGAGTGTACCTTTGTGACGAACCTCTAATAAAAACCTTGGGTGCTGAGTCTCTAATGAGATTCCCTGGTAGAAAAAACATGTTTTCACATTTTGTTACTAGAAGAATTAAGCATATCTTGTGTGGCGCCACTGGGAGAAGACTCTTGCACTTGGTTTCCCCCAGACTTTGTCCCATATGCCTTTTGTCTTTTGCTGATGTTGCTTTGTATCCTCTCACTGAGATAAATCTTAGCTGTGAATACAGTTGGCCCTTGTTTACCTCAGTTAATCAGTTCCAGACTCTACCGCAATAAGTGAATTTCCACAAAGAAGGATTCTTTAGTTTCAAATACTGCGATAGAGTAAAGCCGTGAAAGTCGAAGCGCGAGGTGGCAAGGGACGACTGTACAACTGTATGTTGAACCTGTTAGTCCTTCTAGAAAAATCACCAAACCTGGGGGTGGTCTTGGAAACCTAGAATATAGCTTAGGAACCAGTCATCATTTCTAAGGATTTTCTCTATTTGTTCCAAGCAACTGACTGAGATACCTTTGGAAAACAACCAGTTTTGTAGAATTTGTATGGTTAAATATTAAATAACTATCTCAAGAAACATGCATCTAGGAAAAAAATGACAAAAAGTATTTGGAAGTGTTTTCACAAACATATGAAAACATATTTATATTAAAACTATAATTCATACAGTCTATAAAAAACTTAAGAGTAAATCATCAAAAGCTATATAAATGCCTGGCTGGTGTGGCTCAGTGGCTAAGCATCGACCCATGCACCAAGAGGTCACTAGTTTGATTCCGGTCAGGGCACATGCCCAGGTTGTGGGCCCAATCTCCAGTGAAGGGCATGCAGGAGGCAATCAATGTTCTCTTTCATTGATGTCTCTATCTTTCTCCCTCTCCCTTCCTCTCTCTCTAAAATCAATAAAGAAAAATTATTTTAAAAAATTCTATAAAGATTTCCCATGATATTGAACCTAAGAAACACATTACAACAATGTTGTTTCTAATGCAGAAATCGACAAACTATGCCTCCGGGACAAATCTAGCCTACTACCTATTCTGTAGTTTATGAGTAAGCTAAGAATGGTTTTACATTTTAAATAGTTATATTTTACACACACACACACACACACACACACACACACACACATTAATAAAAAATATCCTTGATTTTGTTCTTGAACCACAAAGTCCAAAATGTTCACTGTGTGGCCCCTTAGGAAAAAGCTTACCAACCTCTGCTGTATTGCCATGATCGTTATTGCTTTTTCTATATACATCTCTGAACTAGTCTTACTAACATTTTTGCCAAAGGTACTATTATCTGTCCTGACCAAATTCATAGGTATAAATGCATTTCATATCCACATTCTGAATTATTCAAAGTAATTCAGTATGAATATTTAAACATTTAAATTGGAAGTTATTCTTTCCAATACAGCATTAACTATCTTGTTTTACCTGACTATTCCTCATATTAGTAATTAACAATCTAACTTATGGGGCCATATTTTATACATAAGCAGACATTATAATTAAGAATTATTTTAGATACCCTCTACACATCATCTCAATTGTCAAAAGAGCTATTAAATAAAATTATTTATTCTTCCTTGTCAGGAAAATGTGACATAGAAAGAAAGCTTTCACCCAGCCTGTGTGCCTCAGTGGTTGAGCATTGACCCATGTACCAGGAAGTCGCCAATCTGATTCCCAGTCAGGGCACATGCCCAGGTTGTAGGCCAAATCCCCAGGGGAAGTCATGCAGGAGGAGGCCAATCGATGTTTCCATCTCTCTCTCCCTCTCCCTTCCTCTCTCTCTAAAATCAATAAAGAAAAAAAATTAAAAAGAAAAAGAAGCTTTCAATAGATTATTTTTAAAGTCCAAGAACAGATAATTCAGAATTATTTACTATTTTGGATATTATAATACACCTCCTACACTGAAGAATAAAAGAAACACTGAGGGATATAGAATTCAAAGAGAAAACATCTTGACATTACCAAGTTGGACATTACCTCTATAAAAAATGACTTGAGTTCAGAGAGGTGTTGAAATAGGTTTAGGGTTGAAGTCTCGGTTTTGGTCTGCTTCTGCACTGCTTCCTCTGCTGATAATCTAGGAGGGTGTGGTTCCTTTAAAATAATTTTAAGGAAAAATAATTTCATAATTATATTAAAACATCTCTCACTTTATTCCTTCATACATACTGGGCACTAGCTACAATGGATTACATAACATGCACTATTCCCAATTTCAGTTCTTTGCTCAGACTATTGCCTCAGTAGAGTTCCTACCATCTTCATTTCTATAGAAACCCTACTTCTACTTTAAAGTTTTTATTACTGGCATCTTCCTAAATATCTAAGTCAGAATTAATCCTATATTATTTTCCTGAGCATATTACTTTAAGATTTACTTAGCACTTATTTCTTTCTGTGATGGATTAGATGTTCTTGTTTATGGTCTCTGTCTTCCTATTAGGCAATAGGTATCTTCAAGTTAGAAAAGAAATCTTATTCATTTATGGATTTTCAATACCTAGAAGAGTATCTTAAATATCTTAAAGCATCTTAGTAGATGCTTAATAAATGTTTGGTATAATTAAATGCATTATTCCAAAGTCAAAAGTTGTATTATGGGTGAATCTTTAATTCCTGAAATCAAGTAAAAAAGTCAATACTCTCAGAATCAAATTAACAGATATTCCTACATTTCTTTGCAAATAAATTATTTTTAACATTAATGTCAAAGAATAGAACAGTATTATCTTTACAAATAAAATATTCAACTCTCAATTATCACTGTATTATTCACTTTATTATTTTTTATTTTTTTATTTTTTTATCCTCACCCAACAACTTTTTTCCATTTTTTATTCAGACAGAGAGGGAGGGAGAGAGAGGAAGAGAGAGAGAGAGAAATATCGACGTGAAAGGAACACAGAGTGGCTGCCACCTGCACAACCCAACCAGGGCCTGGGATAAACTGCAACCGAAGTACATGCCCTTAGTGGGAACCAAACCCGGGTCTGTCTCTCTGGACCGCAGGCCAACGCTCTAACCACTGAGCCAAACCGCCCAGGGCTATTATTCACTTTAAATAAATCCTGATATTTGTGATTTTTTTTTTTGAGGTAATAAAGACTAATTAACACTACTGTTATATATATATATATATAAAAAAAAAAGTAAAATGGCTCTGGCCAGTTTGGCTTAGCAATTAGAGCATCAGCCTGTGGACCAAAGGGTCACAGGTTCAACTCCCAGTCAAGGGCATGTCCCCTGGTTTGCAGGTTCGATCCTCAGCGGGTTGTGTGAGAGGCAACCAATAGCAGTGTCTCTCTCACATCAATGTTTCTCTCTCTCTCCCTCATCCCTCCTTTCTACTCTATCTAAAAATCAATGGAAAAATATCCTCAGGTGAGGATTAACAAAAGCAAAAGTAAAATATTAATGGTGCAAAAACATTACAGAATTTATCTCAAAGTCCAAATAAGTGTTTTGTTTTATTGTTACTTTTGCTTTCTGCTTCAATCAGCAGGTAAGGAATAAAGCACTGACTTTAAATACGACTATTGTATAAAAATCAATGTTGGCCTTGTCAGGTGTGGCTCAGTGGTAAGTGTGGCGGTTGCAAACCAAAGGGTGGTGAGTTCAATTTTGGATCAACGGCAAATAGGTCAAGGTTGCAGGTTCCATTACCAATTGGAGCCAGTGCAGGAGGCAACCAATCGATATGTCTTTCTCACATCAATGTTCCTCTCTCCCTCCCCCTCCTTCCCTCCCTTTCACTCTCTCTAAAGATCAATGGAAAAAATATCCTCACACAACAACAAAATCAATGTTGGAGGCTGTAAACAAACTTTTGCTAAGAAATAATAATAATTATAAAATTTAGTCTAATTAACTGAAAAAACAGAAGTATATCTATAAGCCAGAGTTTAAACACACCATTGCTGTAATAACTGTGGAGATTTCCATTCAATGAACATTTACTACATACATACTATATGCCAGAAAGATACAAAATGATTAAGAGAAGGTTGCTGCCTTTTACATGTTTATAATATAGTGAAGCAAATAAATATATAACTAAGGCAGAAATTGTCAAAATTAGGATATAAGTAACAGCCCAGAGAACATGGAAAAGTGATCTAGTTCAACAAGGGAGCATATAGCTATAAATTCAGAGGAAATATGTCATGGCAACAAAGCTTTGGAGTTAGACAGTCATATATCCAAATCGTTCCTGTTCCAGTCACATTCTAGTTGTGTAAAAGTGGAAAAAAGTAGTATTTGATTTCTCTAAGGTGTTGTAGGCTAGGTATTATTTCCTATGAGGCTTGGCTTCATCATCTGAAAAATTAGGATAATTGAATATTTTTTGTGAGGGTTGGGTAAATCACCTAGCTCTTGCTTACATTAAAAAAAAAAAAAAAAAAAAAAAGGTCCAGCCAGTGTGGCTCAGCGGTTAAGCATCAACCCATTCACCAAGAGGTAGCTGGTTCGATTCCCGGTCAGGACACATGCCCAGGTTGTGGGCCCAATCCCTAGTGAGGGGCATGCAGGAGGCGGCCAATCGATGTTCTCTCTCATTGATATTGCTATCTCTCTCTCCCTCTCACTTCCTCTCTCTTTAAAATCAATAAAGAAAAAAAAATTTTTTTAAAGAAGTTTAAAAAAGGATAATATTGTACCCTGGCTAGTGTGGCTTAGTTGGCTGGAGCATTGTCTCATACACCAAAAGGTGGAGAGTTCAATTCCCAGTCAGGACACATACCCAGGTTGCAGGTTTGATCCCTAGTGAGGGCACAGACAGGAGGCAACCAAACGATGCTTCTCTCACTCTCTCTCTTCCTCTAAAATTAATTAAAAACAAATTTTTTTTAAGCCCTGGCCGGTTTGCTCAGCAGTTAGAGCATCGGCCCACGGACTTGTGGTTTCGATTCCAGTCAAGGGCACGTACCTTGGTTGCAGTTCGGTCCAGGCCCTGGTCAGGGTTGTGCAGGAGGCAACTAGTCAATGTGTCTCTTTCACATAGGTGTTTCTCTCTCTCTTTCTCCCTCCCACTCTATCCAAAGATAAATGGAAAAATATCCTTGGGTGAGGATTTAAAAAAAATTTTTTTTTCAGTATATTATTACCCTGGCCAGTGTGGCTCAGTGATTAGAGTATCTGTGCACCAAAGGGTCGCAGGTTCAATTCCCAAAAGGGCACGTACCTTGGTTGCAGGTTCGATCCCTAGCCACAGTTGGGGCACATGCCAGAGGCAACCAATCAATGTCTCTGTCTCTCTTTCCCTCTCTCTCTCACCCCTTCCCCTCCCTTCCACTATCTCTAAAAAGCAAAGAAAAAATACCCTCAAGTGAGGATTAAAAAAAAAAGTATATTTATTGTGTATTCCTAATTTCTAAATTCATATACTAACAAAGATCAAGATATCTTTGAAAACTAACACTGAATTAATTTGTATGAATCCCAAGCTGTGTGCAATCAGAAAGACAATTTAACTTCAGATTCTAATATGGAGAAAGAAATACAGTAATTTTTATAATTTAATTCTACATGTTTTCTATTCTATAATTTGAGTTTTAGAACTGGGTTTGGGTTCTGAATGGTAAGTGCCCTTTTTGGGCAGACATCAGCTACTAAAAAGGGAGACTTCAACCTCACCATTTTCTTTCTCAGAAATAAAAAAATAAGGTGATTGTTTTTTAAGTTAATATAGGTCCTGTGTGATTTAAGAGCAATTGACTATATTTGTGGATTTTTTACTGCAATATTTTGTTATTTAAAAATAGAAACAATCACTTATTTTATTTATTTTAATACTGGTTTTAAAAAAAACTATTTATTTATTTATTTTTGGTACGTGCCCCTAGTGGGAACAGAACCCAAAACTCTCTGGTCCGCAGGCCGATGCTCCAACCACTACAACCACTGAGCAAAACTGGCCAGGCCTTTAAATTATTTTTTTATTGATTTTTTAGAGACAGAGGAAGGGGGAGAGAGATAGAAATATCAATGTGAGAGAGACACATCCATCAGCTTCCTCCAGCTCACTCCACACTGGGAAGCGAGCCCACACTGGAGGCATGTGCCCTGACCAGGAATAGAAATGGGACCTCTCAGTCCATGGGACAATATTCAATCCACCGAACCACACCAGCCAGGGAGAAATAATCATTTAAATCTTTTTATCTTTTATTAAGTGACAGTATATTTTTCTCAAATTGTAAATAATTTTGAAGTAAGGTATTAAATAATAAAAATCTTTGAAGTACTGGTAGTACTCTTCCTTAGTGATTAAATTTTAGACTTTTTATATAATCAATAACTTTTTTGATTTACCTTTAACAGTTGACAAGGTGTTTGTCCAAAATTATTAATCATTCCTTCTAAGGCTTTTCTTTCCTTCTCATCTGTTAGGGCATCCAGATCCACAGCTCCTAAAATCAGAAGTAGTCAACTCACTACAGAGTGAAAATAAATTAGCAAGCCACATAACTGATGGATATATCAGAGACTGATTAGTACATTTTTATTAAAATACTATTCCATTCTTTCATTCCTAAGAACATTTTAAGGGATAATGTTTTAAAAAACAGTAAAACATCAACATTAAATATATAAAAAGATAAATTTTATCCACTGTTTAGAACTTAACTATTTTAAACAAATTTAACAGGTAGTCTATAGAAGTTTCTCTAAGAAAAATACAGACTATACTCACAGTACACCTAATTGTTTTTCATCATAGTCAAGCTGAAACAAGTGTAATAACCATACAAAAATACTGCTATAAATTACTGCTTAATAAATGTTGGGGAAGGTGATATTATGGTTAACTGATTATACCCAGCCATACCTAATATGAATTGTTACATGGCTAGTAACTAGCCAAACTAGATCAGTCTGATTTCAACGTCTATGCTCCTATCCACCATGCCATACTACCTCCCACAGATTTTTATGGAAGGAAAACATGCTTGTCTAGTTACAAAAAGTCACGTGGGCTCTACTAAAATGCATGTAACTTCATACTATTCACAATCTTTAGAACTCTTAGTTCAACTTAAGGATTAGAAAAGAACTACTTATGACTTTCAAAGCCTTCAAAAAATGTTCTTGATTCTGAATAAACAATGGAATGCCACCTTTATCACTTAAAGAATTGTTATTTGTAATTCTAAAGGTCTTTTTGCAAAGTCTTCTAAAAATTTAATACTAAATATTTAATATAAGACCTTACTGAATTGGACATATATGGCCAGAGATCAAAAACTTTTATGCCACCAATAACTGACATTTATAATTAGATATGCACACTCTTAATTACTATTTTTTTTACAAAAGCATCTTACCTTTCAAATAGAAAATATCACTAAATTATTTTTAAATGTAGTTTTTTCCCATGTTAAATAGTTATGTCCAAAATACCATGTTACAAACACATATTAAATAATACTTTCTATTAATACAAGAGAAAAAGTACATAGGTTTATACCTTCATAACTGCAGTAATAGAAAACATTGAGTGCCTCCACTGCAGCTGGCCCCCTCTGTTTATAACCAAAAATCAGGTCTATCCATTCATGAAGATGAGCAGAAACATATTCAGATTCCTAGAAAAAGAACAAATAAGTAATAATTAATATAGAGATACCTTCCAACTACAATGTAAAGATGAGTTCTTTAAAAAAGAGCAAATTAAGCACTTACACATAAAATCTTACCACTGCAAACCAAATTATCTCAAATTCATGTTAAATAATTATTCATCATCTACTGCATATGACTATAGTCTATCTTGTACAATGTAGATATCATATTTATTAATATTTACTACATATGCATCTCCTCGTTAATGGTGAAAAAAATAACAGATCTTCTAACAGTCCAAATATTAATGACAAAAAATTGCTCTGGAATGCATCTTTGTTGTAAAATTTCCACTGAAATAGTTGTCTAGAATTTCAATTCAAGGAAATAATGAAACCACACTGAAGTAGATGAAAGATTCTGCAAATAATTCCCTCCACCCCATCCCACCAAGAGGTGGATTGGGTGGCAGGCAGAGGCTTGAAGGATCTCCTGAAGCCACCAAGATGCCTTAAAAGACAGTAAGGAAATTGTTATTGGAGACAGGAGAAAAGGGGACTCACTGTTTTTGTTACATGAAAAACAGGAAGGGTAAATAATGAACTCGTAGATCTGGGGTTGGAGATTTCCAGGCAGAATGTTTTTAAGTGCTAATTGGCTTCTTTTAGCTGCTTGTGATAAAGTGTGGGAGGAGTAAGATGAGTTGGGGGGAGGAGGACTGTTTAGATTTTAAGCATAATTTTAAAAAATATATAAAAGGAACCAGGTCTTGCTAGGTTCAAAATAAAATTATTTCTCATTTCTAGGATCACTAGAGAGTAAAGTTCCCAAAGTAACAAATGGCCTAAGTCAATGATCAAATAAATCAGTGTCACCAGTAAAGTATGGCCTCAGGAAAAAGTTTTAGGTCAGGAGTATGGCTATCAAACAATCTGCTGAGATCTTTTTCTCTCATAGACATACTCAAGAGAATATAGAGCATCTTAAAAATGTTTAAAAGAGCCCTGGTTGATTTGGCTCAGCGATTAGAGCGTCGGCCTGCGGTCCTGAGAGACCCGGGTTCGGTTCCCACTAAGGGCACATACCTCGGTTGCAGTTTGTTCCCGGCCTTGGTTGGGTTGTGTGGGTGGCAACCACTCAACGTGTCCTACGTGTCCCTTTCACATCGATGTTTCTCTCTCTCTCTCTCCCTCCCACACTCTATCTGAACAAAAAATAGAAAAAATGTCCTCGGGTGAGGATAAAAAAAAAAAATGTTAAAAAGAGAGAGAATAATTCAAAAATGGAGTCACTTGTGAGGATAAAAAAAAAAATGTTAAAAAGAGAGAGAATAATTCAAAAATGGAGTCACTTGTGCAAACCAAGACTTAACATATAACCTCACTGCAGTTTCAGCCTATTCCAGGAATATTAGCTTTAACCAATCTAGAATTACCTGATCAGCACTAGTGATTTTATACTAGAGAAACTGTACAAAAAAGAAGACTCAGAAGAGGTGGACATGACAGACCCTTCCTTTCCCCTAAAGGAAACAATCCACTCTATGTTAGACTTTATTTTTCTGCCCACTTCTGCCTCTAGAAGGCTTCCATTTTGTACAGCATCTGGAAGCTCCTTTCTATATGATGGATGGGATGCTGCCTGAATCATGAATCACTGAATAAAGCCAATTAAATCTTCAAATGTACTGAGCTGAATTTTGTTTTTTAACAAGAATCTTAAGGGCATTTCCAATTCAGCCGAAAGGAGATAAAAAACTGTTTTGTAAAGTAATATGGATTTTGTCCAGTAGAGTTGATGCATAAGAAACCCGTAAAATTTTAAAAGAAATTTTATCAGTTCAGTCTGAGAGAGAGAGAAACTGTATAAAAAAGAATACTCAGAAGAGGTGGGCAGGAGGAAGGGAAGAGATAAACCAAAGAACTTATATGCATGTATACATAACCAATGAACTTAGGCAACAATGCTGGGGGAGAGGGAAGATCAGGAGGAGGGTATCAATGGGGGAAAAAGGAGAAAAATCTATAACAAAAATTAATTAATTAGTTAATTAATCAATTAAAAAAAAGAAGAAGACAGACCTTTGGCTTCCAAGTTACTATAGTTAAGAGGTTGACAAAGATACTCGAATTTATTTATTTAACAAAAAAGAAAGAATAACTGGGTGGGGGTGTTTTCAAGAGCCCAAATGTAGAAGAAAAAAGCCATGGAAAACCACTCTTGGGACACAGCACTGGATCCTAATAAAGGAACTGAGAGCATTTTCCGCCAGAATTCTGAATTGTTATAACCAGTTATTGCTAGGTGCCTCTTGTTTTCTCTCTCTTTTGAATGAGAATGTCTATTACAGTTCTGTCCTTGTCACACCACTGTTGTTATGTGGGGACAGATAACTTGTTTCTTTACTTCAGTCTTCTGATCCAAGAGGAGACACATCTGAGTAGTTTAATCCACATATTTAGATGAATAACAAGATTCTGGACTTCAGGCCTCATACCTTAATGCAAGGATCAGCAAACTACTGCTTGTGTGCCAAATCTTACTAACTACCAGACTTGTAGAGTGGTCCAACACTCATTTATTTTGCACTACAATGGCAGAATTTCACCTTAAAGCCAATGAAAATATTTATTATATTGTTCTTTATGGAAAAAGTTCAAAGATTTCCTGTCTTAAAGATATGACTGTGGGGGAATCTTGAGAAGAAATATGTATAATTTACATGTTGAAGGAATGTGAATAATTTGTGGCCAGAGGCAGATTCTCTGTGGTAGATCAAAGATGGTTGCTAATTCTTTCTCACTTCCATCATTGAGAAGTGCAATTTATTTTCCCTCCTTTTGAATCTGCATTGATCCTGTTACTGTTTAACTATTACAAACTGGCAGAAGTGATGCTGTGACAGTTCATAGCCTGAAGACATGAGAAAATGTGGAAGCTTCCACTTTTGCATTCAGGGGAGCCCTGAGCTGCCATATAAAAGGTCTGGCTACCCAGATTAGAGAGACCACATGAAAAGGAGATATCCTGAAATTATATGGAGAGGGAGAAAAGACCAGTGTGCCAACGTCTCAGTGAAGCCTATGTGACTCTAGCCTTAGCTATCGTATGACTCCAAGGCCATGAGAACCTCAAACAAGACCAGGAGAATTACTCTATTGAGACAAATCAACTCATAGAACTGTGAGAGATAATAAAATGGCTATAGTTTAAAGCCACTACATTTTGGATTAGTTTGTTACACAGAAATACATAACTGAAACACAAACTTCTAATATCTTATTAGTAAGGAGGAGCATGCTTTCCTGAAATCCTGGACTCCTATTGCATGTAATAAATAATATAGAGGAAAGCATCTGAGAAGTTTCTAGTTAGCAAAAAGAAATAGAGTATTTTTCAGAGTTGCCTTATCCATACATAGGGTTATTGCCCACAAGCATTATAATATAATCCCGAATTACGTAATTTGACAAACTATATATTAATGACAAGGAATGTTTCCAAATTGGCCTGATTAGTTTTAGAGCCTGCAACATTTCAGTTTAAATAGAGAACTAAGTGGGCTACTGTGGGGGTAAAAACATATCACCTGCAAGATAATAATACAATATCAACATTAACCTAAGTCTTACTAGTCTTTCAATTCCAAACTGCAAATTTAGCTAAAAACCAGTAATATTTTTTAAAGTGGCATTTAGGATCTAACTATCTTAGTAAAAACTTACTGAAATCCTTCAGAGAAAACAAAAGTGTACTGATCCTTATATTAGATATGAAACAAACATGGGAACTACAAAATATCAAACTACATCCAGCCTGGTGATTCAAATAGTTTCACATATAGCAGGCAGATACATTATAGAAATGATTTTTTTTTCTGTATATCTTTGGGACTTGACTATACTTTCACTATATCAGAAGATTCATAGCTTTGGAATAAACTACTATATTATACTTTCTAAAACATCATATATAATAGATTACAAATTAATCTAGAAAAATAATTAATAGTCAGATATACTTAATTCCATCCTCTTAAAAAACACATACATCTTTATCTTTTTAATTTCTCTAATAACTGAACACAAAAGTCTTACCAGAGCTTTCCTATGTTTATAGATGAAATCTTCCGCTGACTTAGCCCATTTGGGGAGAATGACATCATTTACTAGTTCTTTGGAAGCTTGTAGACGACCCAAGTTAAATTCTAAGATATGTAAAAGATAAATTTATCAAGTCATTTTAGAACAAACAGGAGGGCATATTCCTTAGCAAAAGTGAAGGCTCTTTTCTTTTTTAATTAAGAGATAGGTGGGAATCAAGTTCCCTTGTTCTACATTTACTAAACAAGTAAATTTAATTCTTATCAATTGGAATACATTTATCAATTGATGTAAAAGGTAAATAAAAGCTCTGTCAGCCCACGGACCAGAGAGACCCGGGTTCAGTTCCCACAGGGCACGTACCTCCGTTGCTATTTGTCCCCGGCCCCGGTTAGGGTCATGTGGGTGGCAACCACTCAATGTGTCTCTCTCATATCAATGTTTCTCCCTCTCTCCCTCCTGCTCTATCTCAAGATAAATGCAAGAATGTCCTCAGGTGAGGATAAAAAAAAGAAATAAATAAAAGGTAAATAAAAATAAAATCATTTTAAATTAGGTATTATAAGGTAAATCAGATTAATAATTGATTTTTTGTTGGGGGAAAGTACTGATATGACCAAAACCATAATCAGAACAAAAATGAAAGATAAAGTATTCTTTTTTTTTTATCCTCACCCGAGGACATTTTTCCATTTTTTACTCAGATAGAGCGGGAAGGAGAGAGAGGAAGAGAGAGAAACATCAATGTGAAAGTTACACATCGAGCGGCCGCCACCCACACGACCCAACCAGGGCCGGGGACAAACTGCAGCCAAGGTACATGCCCTTAGCGGGAACCGAACCCGGGTCTCTGTGGACCGCAGGCTGACGCTCTAACCGCTGAGCCAAACCGGCCAGGGCAGATAAAGTATTCTTAAATTTTAAAATAATTATCATAATCAGTTCTAATGGTTAATTTACAAAATATAACTCCTTAGAGCTTTTTGATTTAACAAAAGGAATGCAACAAACTTTAAACTCACTTTAAGATTTATACTGGCCTTATGAAAGAAAAATATATTTATATATCACTATTCTAAGTATATACTGACATGATAAAGATTTGCTCATCTAGTTAGAATCCCAAAATGAGATTTTCTTGTTCATACAGTGAAGGAAGAGAAAAGTGTTAACACAAAAGACCTTCATAAAAGAAGCTGCCTTAAAATATCAATGAGTCTCAAAGTAGGAGAGAGGTTCAATGTCATAAAATGACAGGACACACAGGGTCTGTAGCTTTGTTAACCCAACCACTGTATAGCAGACATTGTTTGTTGGCCACCTGATAGCCATTCTTCATTTTGTAGCAGAATCCTGTTTTTATTAAGTTGTCCATTCCTGACTTATAATTCATGCTTGTTGCAGGTGACTGATGTAGAGGCTGGCATATGACCCAGCCCTGGAGAATAAGGGGACGTTATAAGAAAGGGTTTCTCACTCTTAAGAAATGACAAAGAATTAACATTTTCACTTCTTTCTAAGACACCATTATATATACCTATGATACCTAGAACTTCTTTAGTTATCTGTAACCGTAACAGGAACGAGCCAGGGACAAAGCCAAAACACTTAGAATAGCAGAGTGAAAATATAGAAAAGAACTTGGCTTGGATGATATTGTTCAACCACCCGAAACTATCATACCTCAGGGTTTTTATGAGGGAAAAGACTAAAATTTTCTTGCTCACACAATTATAAGTTTTTATTATTATCTGTTTTACTAATTAATATAATACTAATATTAATCAATACTTTTTGGCATTCTAACTAACATATTTGCTTTCTCTCACATAGCTCATTTCAAACAAAAAGGCAATGTATAGTTAGAAATGGAGGCCACCAGGACAGTAGTGCAAGACGGCAACTGACTCTGGTGAATGCCAGAAATTGTCAAGCTAAAAGTACCTTAAACTTTGCATCTATATTTAATCTGCTCATCCCACCTATCCTAGATACACTGCTTTAGGAGACTCCAGTCCTATGACTGGCCAAGAGTTTAAGATCACATTCAGTCAATAGATTCACTTGATTTCCTGACTACCTTACTCTGAGAATCAGATGTCCTGCCTCCAGTTGGTCATGCACAACTGTTACAGTGTGAATGACCAAAGGGCATGAAGCCCTGAATTTGTTCTGCCTGGCCTGACAAATAATTCTACTGAGTAAGCAAAGGGTCAAGCATTAACATTATATGCTAAGAGAGGAAAAAAAAGTTGGTAATGGTCCTTTCACACTGTGAAATATCCCTAAAGAACACCAGTAGTAACACTCTTGCCAATTTCCTTATTTGTGCTTAAACTAAATCTAAAACTACCTTATAGAAAGAGTATTTGGATATTTTAAAGATTGTATTTAGCTCCGTGATTCTCTCCTTCAAAGACATAATATAATTTTTCAAGATATAGTTGCTTCTGTTGCAACTATAAAAATCTGATGTTATACTGTGAAAGTGGTCACGGTTTATATGTAAATGAAATGGCTGGCTGTATTCCAACAAAATTTTATTTATCAACACATATTTTGCCCACAGATTTGGCCTATGGACTGTACTTTGCTGATCCCTGGTCTAAATGCTCATCTCATCTAATTCAAACACTTTTTTAAAAAAAATGTTTTTCCTTTATTTAGAGAGGAAGGGAGAGACAGAGAGAGAGAGAGAGAAACATCGATGAGAGAGAACATCAACTGGCTGCCTCCTGCATGCCCCTCACTGGCAATCGGGCCCACAACCTGGGCATGTGTCCTGACCTCTTGGTGCATGGGTTGATAATCAACCACTGAGCCACACCAGCCAGACTAACTCAAACACTTTTAAACTAAGTTGTTATATGGTTGAAATAGCATATGGTCATTTTGCTAGTAAATATTGTACTCTGACAAATTCTCTTACCAGTTCAAATTTTACTCATTTATCTTACTTCACTGGAACACTTCCCTAGAAGGCAAGACAAGTACCTGGACACTAGTAATCCCTGTCACTGAATAATACACAGACAGAATGAATCTTAAATAATCTATAGGACATCACAAAAATGTCCTGAAAGATATTTTTCAGGATCTTCCATTGAGATCTGTTGAATCAAATTTTTTATCTATTTCTTACGATTTTGATTTTCCAAAAACTCTGGAAAATAGAAGAATTCAGGAATAAGTTCCTTCACATCATTTGGATTGTCCATGAGCGCCTGCCAGGTAGCAGGGATGGAATGGAATTGTCGATCTGCACAATCAAACCTGCACATGGAGACAGAAAGAGAAAGGTGCTGAATGAGAACAACAGCAGGCATGAAACAAACTTTTTAAATCCCTTTAAGTTTCCCAATGATTAGTTTCTCTTTTCTTAATATTTCTCTTTAATGTCTAAAAACACAATTTGCTCTTCTTTTGGGGGGAGGGGAGTACGTGCCCCTAGCGGGAACCGAACTTGAGACTCTCTGGTCCGCAGGCCGACGCTCAACCTCTGAGCCAAACTGGCCAGGGCTGCTCTTCTTCTTGTGACTATCTTTCATAATCTGTGTCAGGAACTAAATACTCTCATTTTAATCACTAGTATCATCTTAGTTAAAATAGTTGAAAACCAAATCACATTGGAGAAAATGTTTAAGTGATTAAATTAAATACAAACCTAAGACATCTTTTACAAAATGGCACCGTTTTTTTTTTTTCAATTACAGTTTACATTCAATACTATTTTGTACCAGTTTCAAGTGTACAGTTTAGCGTTCAGACAATCATATATCCTACAAAGTGTTCCTTCTGTTATCCCAGCCCCCGCCTGGCACCATACATAGTCACCACAGTATCACTGACTCTATTCCCCATACTGTACTTTACATCCCCATGTCTATTATGTAACTACCCATTTATACTGCTTGATCCCTTTGAAAATGGCAAAATTTTTGCTGAGTAAAACTTACCATAGAAAATGACTAAATGTTATTTGGATATTTTTAAATCACAGAGTTTAAATATCAAAGTATTATAGTATTAACATATGTGATTAACAGATCTATAAGAATATTGCTGACTTAACCTTCGATACATAAATACCTTTACAAACTCTTCTACTAAAAACCAGATGGTGATTTAGGGAAATAGTTCTTGCATATACTTCATTTTTAAGTTCCATCATGACTCTATGTTAGTTGAAAGGAGCTCAAGTGGTCATGCTGCAATTTTATTATGCTTTTTCTAATCATAAAATGCATAAACTCCTTCTGTTTCATCTCCTTTGACATTGTTTTCCTGGATATATTAAGTAATGAGTTATTAAGTAACACTGATGACTAATTTGACTCTTTTTATGCCTAGGAATCTTAATTTGAGGCTAAGCTAAACTTCACAGAACTCTAAATTTAACTATCATAAATAGGTCATCAATAGTCTAATGATGGAGTAATCCAGATTCATGGAGAGGTACAGCTTTAATGGTAGAATCTTTTTGTGTGGGAGAGAACAGTTTTATTGAGATGTAATTAACATAGATATAATTTACTCTTAAGTAGAAAAGTCAATGGTTTATGGTTTTTAGTATATTCACAGAGTTGTGCACCCACCACCACAATCAATTTTAGAACATTCTCATCACTCCAAAAAGAAACTCTGTATCTATTAGCAGTCCCTCTTCATTCACCCTACCTCTACCACTAATCTACTTTGTCTCTCTGAATTTGCCTATTTTGGACATATCATATAAATCATACATACAAGATGTGGCTTTTGTGCCTGGCTTATTTCATTTAGCAAACTGTTTTTGTGGTTCATCCATTTCGTAGCATGCATCAAGCTCTCATTCCTTTTATTCACTCATGGCCAAATAATTTTCCATTGTATGGATATACCACATTTTATTCCTTTATCAGTTAATACACATTTGGATATTTCCATTTTTGGCTATTATAAATAATGCTGCTATGCACATTTTTGTATAAGTTTTTGTATGAATATATATTTTCAGTTATCTTGGGTATATACTTAGGAGTGGAATGGCTGGATCATATGGCAATTATGTATTTAACCCTTCGAAGAACTGTCAGACTGTTTTCCACAGAGACTGCTTTTTACATTCCCACCTGTAGTACATAATAAAGGTTCCAATTTCTCAGCATGCTCATTGACAAGCTCTTGATTATAGTCACCCTTGTGCTACCTCAATTTGTTTTTGATTTAAATTTCCTTGATGACTAATGATGCTATGCATATTTTCATATATTTTTTGTTTGTTTTTGGTTAATTTTCACCCAAGGATATTATTTCCACTGATTTTTTGAATGGAAAGAAGGAAAGGAGAGAGAGAAACATTGATGTGAGAGAGACACATTAATTAGTTGCTTCCTGTATGACCCCAGCCAGGGCTGGGAATCGAACCTGCAAACCAGGTATGCGCCCCTGACTGGAATCAAAACCAAGACCCCACAGTCCACAGGGCTACACTCCAACCACTGAGCCAAACCTGCCAGGGCAGCATCTTTTCAAATGTTTATTGGACATTTGCATATCTTCTTTGGGAAAATGTCCATTCGGATCCTTTGTGTCCAGTAGTTAATTAGGTTGTCTTTTTATTATTGTAAGGGTTCTTTTTATATGCTAGTTAAAAGTCCCTTATCAGATATACAATTTGCATATATTTTCTTCCACTGAATGGGTTGTCTTTCAACTTTAATTTTATTCATAAAATTAAAAGTTGAAAAAAACAGTTATACTTTACTGGAGAGAAAATTACTTGCTATCATGGTAAATGTAATGGCTGGCTGTGTTCCAATAAAATTTTATTTATAAACACATAAATCTGTGGTAAATCCATCATGGAGATATGCAGTGATCTTGAGGACATAGTCTTTTCTTGAAAGCCAAGGCTTAATGTACTAAAATCAGGAATAAGGGACCTGGGCAATTTTGAGAAATAAAAGCTACATGTAAAGAGAGTAGACCAGGCAATGGTTACACAGCTCTTAATTGGGTAGGAAAGGCAAATGGTAATGTTAAAGAATAAGGCAACATGGAGACAAAATGTGAATCAGTAGAGAACTACCTGGAAGATACACTGAGGAACTAAGGATTCATGTAGAAGTTTGTTCCTTTAGGATCATTAGAAAAATGTATAACATAGATAAGTTTTAAAACCGACAGGTAATATGATATAATGGCATCACAGTCCTATTTGAGCTGCTACTAATAATGTAAGAGCCCCTCAGTCCTCCTTTTTATTCCTCTTGATTGATAAGTATTTTCAGAAGAACTACATAGGCATTGGTTAGGTTTAAATCTGGTAGATGTCTTAGATCTAGCTCTAAATCAGTTCTCACTCTAAATCTATGGTGGGTTGCTAAAACCAATAAGAATCATAAAGGCAAACAGGGTAACAGTAAAAAAAAAAAAAAAAAGGAATTCTCTTTAAAAGTCATTTGTATAAGTCAATTTGAGTGACCCACTCTTATACTAGTTTGGCTATTTACCTAGAGGCTACACGAATCAAAAACTAATAGAGGAGAATAAAAAAGATGTGGTCTTGTCATACAGTACATGACATGGAGGCAAAATTGTTAGCAATGACACATAGTCTTAAGAAAATAGTATATTTACCCAAAACATACCTTCCACTTTGAAGCTGGATGTGGAGGGTAGTGAATGGTTCTGTACGAATAAGATAGTGCATAACCCCAGCAGAATTTGAATAGTGAGTACCATAATGAAATTTATCAATAGTTCCCATAGGATCCTCAAAATTTTCGTATCTAAAAAAAGAAATAAAAGTTTTGTAACCACAACAGCAAAATTAAATTAGGACATAAGCTTGCATTACATTGTTAAAAAAGAGTTTAAGAAGTCCTTATTAATATGTTTCATGATGTATGTATGTATTCATAGCATCACACCATGTTAATAAATGAAAAAAATATTTTATTAACATTTTTTTCTGAACAATAAAATATCACTCATAATGGATTCTGGAAGAGTTCTGTACTATGCAATAATACATGTTGACTGCAGATAAATGAGAAAATACAGAGAACCCTCCCAAAACAACCTTAAAATCAGCTATTATTAACATTTTTGGGAATATAGGTCAATTGTTAATGTATAAATTAATAAACAACCATATTTTAATATAAAAGTGCTATACCTAATATATTGTTTACAACTTTTTATCGTTTAACAGTTTTCTAGCCCTGGCAGTTTGGCTCAGCGGTTAGAGCGTTGGCCTGCGGTCTGGAGAGACCTGGGTTCGGTTCCCGCTAAGGGCATGTACTTCGGTTGCAGTTTGTCCCTGGCCCTGGTTGGTCGTGAGGGTGGCAGCCACTCGATGTGTCCCTTCACGTCGATGTTTCTGTCTGTCTCTCCCTTCCTCTCTCTCCCTCCCACTCTATCTGTACAAAAAATGGAAAAATATCCTCGGGTGAGGATAAAAAAACAAAACAGTTTTCTAGTAACATCTTTCCAAATGACTAATAGTCTATTTTTAATGGGTATGTGGTACTTACAACAAGTATATGTATGGATATATAATAACTTATAACTATTACTTACTTTATTATTGTTTTATTGATTTTAGACAGAGAGAAAAGGAGAGGGAAAAAGAGACAAAAACATCGATGAGAGAGAACATTGATTGACCGCCTCCTGCATACCCCCACTGGGGACTGGGCCCACAACCTGGGCATGTGCCCTGACACAGAAATTGAACTTTTTGGTGCATGGATCAACGCTCAACCACTGAGCCACACCGGCCGGGCACTATTACTTAAGATATTTAAGTAGTTTCTACTTTTTTTTTTTAATCCTCACCCAAGGATATTTTTTCATTTTTTTGTTCACATAGAGTAGGAGGGAGAGAGAGGAAGGGAGAGAGAGAGAAACATCAATGTGAAAGGAACACATCGAGTGGCTGCCACCCACACGACCCAACCAGGGCCAGGGACAAACTGCAACCGAGATACATGCCCCTTAGTGGGAACCGAACCTGCATCTCTGGACCGCAAGCCGACATTCTAATCGCTGAGCCAAACCAGCCAGGGCAGTTGTTTCTATTTTTTTGCTATTATAATAAGCAATGTGATAATCAAACATTCTATTGTAGCTAAGGTAATAGAAACATATGGAGAATCAGTCAAGAATTGTGGAAAGGCACCCTGGCCGGTTTGGTTCAGCGGTTGGAGCGTTGGCCTGCGGTCCAGAGAGACCCAGGTTCGGTTCCCGCTAAAAGCAGGTACCTCGGTTGTAGTTTGTCCCTGGCCCTGGTTGGTCGTGCGGGTGGTAGCCACTTGATGTGTCCCTTTCATGTTGATGTTTCTCTTTCTCTCTCTCCCTCTCTCTCCCTCCCACTCTATCTGAACAAAAAATGGAAAAATGTCCTCGGGTGAGGATAAAAAGAAAGAATTGTGGAAATGAATGCCTAAAAATCTAAAAGGAAAAGATGAAGAAAAGAAAAAGTGGGTAAGAAGAAGGTCTCAACCAGATCATTATAGAAGGACACACAATGATTCTGTAAGCACTATCACTGATAATAGTTTTAAATGGTGACATCTGAATTAATGGGTATAAAATCTGAATAGGAAGGAACAGTTTTTTGAAACAATAAACACTGAAAATTTTAAGCCAATATACTAATCAGTTCCTCAAGGTGAAGCCAATTTCTTTTATATTATTGAAATCATTAATATTCAGGGGAATTAAAAAAAAGGATTCCAGGTCAAAGTAATTTGTACTATTCAAAAAATAAACTATTGCCCTGGTCAGTTTGACTGAGCGGTTAGAGCATTGACCTGCGGACCAAAGAGTCATGGGATCGATTCCAGTCAAGGGCATGTACCTTGGTTGCAGTTCATCCCGGCCCAGGTCGGGGTCTAGTGGGAGGCAGCCAATCAATCTGTCCTTCTCACATTGATGTTTCTCTCTCCTTCTCCCTCCCTCCCTCCCACTCTATCTGAAGATAAATGAAAAAATATCCTAGGGTGAGGATTTAAATAAATAAATAAACTATTGCAAGTTGAAATAATTTGTATCCTTGATTATCAGTAAATTATTTACATGATAAATTTTTCCTGTGGCACACTTTTAAAAATAAACCTTTTATTTTATTATCATCAGAAATAACTGACTAATGGCAATAAGGTAATACATACACAGCCAAATTCCACTAGTAAATCAAATAAAATATCAAGTACTACAACAAGTACTGAGGAAGACTTCCAGTCAAGATGGCCACATAGGTAAACTTGGTATCACCTCCTCCCACAACCACATCAAAACTACAACTAAACTACAGCACAACCATCATTCAGAACCGCCTGAAATCGAGCTGAATGGAAGTCCTACAACTACGAAATTAAAGAAGCAGCCATGCCCTGGCCAGTTGGGCTCAGCGGTTAGAGCATTGGCCTGCGGTCCCGAGGGATCCGAGTATGGTTCCCGCGAAGGGCATGTACCTCTGCTGCAGTTTGTCCCTGGCCCTGATTGGGTCATGTGGGAGGCAGCCACTTGATGTGTCCCTTTCATGTGGATGTTTCTCTCTCTCTCTTTTCCTCTCTCTCCTTCCCACTCTATCTGAACAAAGAAATGAAAAAATGTCCTCAGGCGAGGATTAAAAAAACAAAAGCAGCAGCCACATGGAGACTGGTAGGAGAGGCGAAGGCATGAATGGGCTAGTCCAACACCCACGTGTGGCAGATAAAGATCATAAGGATAGCCCTGGCCAATTTGGCTCAGCAGTTACAGTGTCGGCCAGCAGTCCATAGAGACCTGGGTTCGGTTCCCGATAAGGGCACATGCCTTGGTTGCAGTTTGTTCCCGGCCCCAGTTGGGGTCCTGTGGGTGGTGACCAGTCGATGTGTCTCTCTCACATCGATGTTTCTCTCTCTTCCTCCCGCTATATCTGAAGATAAATGCAAAAAAAAAAAAAAAAAAATGTCCTTGGGTGAGAATAATAAAATAAATAAAATCAGAAGGATACCTCGGCTGGGAAGGTCCTCCCTGAGGAGTGAGGGGTTCCAGTCCCATACCAGGTGCCCAACTCAGGTTTCCAGTGCCAGGAAGAGAAGTCCCCATCACTTCTGGCTGTAAAAATCAGCAGGAACTAAGGCTGAGGGAGGCTGAGGCTCCTGAAGTCCCACTGGTTCCTCTTAAAGGGCCCATGCACGGACTTATTCGGACCCCCTCCCTCCAGGGTCCAGCGTGGAGGAGGCAGCTTGAAAGCACCAGAGACATTCAGGGAAGAACTAAGCTGTTGGCCTCAGGACCAGGGCTGGAGAGGCAGCTTTCTGTCAGACAGACTGCTGGCAGAGGCCTTTGTTCCTTTGGTGAGCCCTTCCCCCACAGGGCAGGCAGACAAGGTTGCCAAATCTGAAACTCCAGCAACCTGGCTCACAATTTTTGCCCCACCCTGATGATGCCCTGAGGCCCTGCCCCATCCAACTTTTGGGTCCACCCAAGCTGTTTCCAAAGGCTTTACTATAGGATTGGCCTGCCTTGGATCCTGCTTCAGAGTTCCCTAAAATCTCTCAAACAAGCAGCATCTGGGCTCAGTGAGCCCCACCTCTTATTAAGTGGCCCCGGGCCTGGCACTAGAAGCAGCCAGCCCTGGTTCACAACTTGGCCTTTCCTGGGCACCTCCAAGCCCAGCACAAGAAGCAACTATCTGCAGATCACTTTGTAGCTTATGCCGGGTGGCCCCAGTTAGTACACAGGCGGTGGCTGAACTCAATCTAGAGCCAGCACACCTAGTGCACAGCTTTAGACCACATTAAAACACCACCACCCAACCACCTCCACAAGTGATATACTCAATGAGTGGACTCAGTGGGTACCAGAGCCCTGCTGAAGTAAGCCTCACTCTGTGTGGTTGGCCCTTACATAGCTGATCCTCCAAGGGAGTCAGAGGCAAGTGGTCAGTGAGCACAGCTAGTCCTTGCAGCTGATCAGCCTGGGTAAATCTCTCCCATTGATGTGCCAACAGCAATCAAGACTCAATTACAGCCCTGGCTGGTTTGGCTCAGCAGTTAGAGCATTGGCCTGCGGTCCAGAGAGACCTGGGTTCGGTTCCCGCTAAGGGCACATACCTCGGTTGCAGTTTGTCCCCGGCCCTGGTTGGTCGTGTGGGTGGCAGCCATTCGATGTGTCCCTTTCACGTCGATGTTTCTCTCTCTCTCTCTTCCTCTCTCTCCCTCCCACTCTATCTGAACAAAAAATGGGAAAATGTCCTTGAGTGAGGATTAAAAAAAAAAAAAGACTCAATTATAACAGAAGGGTGTACAGTCCACACTAGGGGTGCACCTTGAAAGCCCAGTTGGGTTGATCAGGGAAGCCATGCCACTGGATCCTACAGGACACCTACAACAACAGCCCACCCTATGAAGCCTAGGAGACATAGCAGCTCTACCTAATACATAAAAACAATCACAGGGAAGCAGCCAAAATGAGGAGACAAAGAAACATGTACCAAATTAAAGAAAAGTACAAAACTCTAGGAAAAGAACTAAACAAAATGGAGATAAGCAATCAATCAGATGCAGAGTTCAATACACTGGTTATAAGAATGTTCAAAGAACTTAGTGAGACATTCAAGGAACTTAGTGAGACCTTCAAGGAACTTAAGGGGAACTCCAAAAAACTTAGTAAGAACATCAACAACACAAAAAAGAACCAGTCAGAAATGAAGGAGGCACTAACTGAAATAAAGAATAATTTACAAGGAATCAATAGTACAGTAGGTAAAGCCAAAAAGAAAACCATCAATTTGGAATATAAGGAAGCAGAAAACACCCAATCAGAACAGCAAAAAGAAAAAAGAATCCAAAAAATGAGGAAAGTGTAAGGAGTCTCTGGGACAACTTTAAGTGTGCCAATATTCGCATCATAGGGGTGCCAGAAAGAAAAGAGAGAGAGCAAGACACTGAAAACCTATTTGAAAAAATAATAACAGAAAATGTCCCTAATGTGGTTAAAGAAACAGACATACAAGTCAAGGAGGCACAGAGAGTCCCAAACAAGATGAACCCAAAGAGGTCCACACCAAGACACACCATCATCAATATGCCTAAGGTTAAAGACAAAGAGAATCTTAAAAGCAGCAAGAGAAAAGCAGTTCGATACCTACAAAAGAGCCCCATAAGACTGTCAGCTGATTTCTCAAAAGAAACTTTGCAGGCCAAAAAGGAGTGGCAAGAGATATTCAAAGTAATGAAAAGCAATGACCTACAATCAAGATTACTCTATCCTGAAAAGCTATCAATTAGAATCAATGGACATATCGCGAGTTTCCCAGACAAGAAAAAGCTAACGGAGTTCATCACCACCAACCAGCATTATATGAAATGTTGAAGGGTCTTCTTGAAGGAGAACAACAACAAAAATATGAACACTAAAATGGCAATAAATACATATCTATCAAAAATAAAATCTACAGCCCAGGCCGGTTTGGCTCAGCGGTTAGAGCGTCGGCCTGCAGTCTGGAGAGACCCGGGTTCAGTTCCCGCTAAGGGCACGTACCTTGGTTGCAGTTTGTCCCCGGCCCTGGTTGGTCGTGCGGGTGGCAGCCACTCGATGTGTTCCTTTCACATCGATGTTTCTCTCTCTCTCTGTTCCTCTCTCTCCCTCCCACTCTACCTGAACAAAAAATGGAAAAATGTCCTCGGGTGAGGATAAAAATAAATTAATAAATAAATAAAATCTACAAACAAAATGAGCAAGCAGGCCCTGGCCGGTTTGGTTCAGCGGTTAGAGCGTCGGTCTGCAGTCCAGAGAGACCAAGGTTTGGTTCCCACTAAGGGCATGTACCTCGGCTGCAGTTTGCCCCCAGCCCTGGTTGGGTTGTGCGGGTGGCAACCACTCGATGTGTCCCTTTCACATCAATGTTTCTCCCTATCTCTCTCCCCCTCTCTCTCCTTCCCACTCTATCCGAACAAAAAAATAGAAAAATGTCATCGGGTGAGGATAAAGAAAAAAAATGAGCAAGCAGAACAGAAACAGACTCATAGATATAGAGAACTTTCTGTTGCTTGCCAGATGGGTGGGGGTTGGGGGTGGGTGGGTGAATAAGATGAAGGAATTAAAAAGTACAAATTGATTGTTAGACTGATGAACCTCAAAGGGAAGCGGGGGGAAGGAGGGTGGGATGAAATACACCAAAGAACTTCTATGCATATGTGTATAACCAATGGACACTGACAATAGTGTGAGGAGGCAGCAGGGGGGTGGGATTGAGGAGGATGGGGTCAATGAGAAAAAAAGCAAGGACATCTGTAATACATTCAACAATCAAGATAAGTTAAAAAAATAAAAATACATTTTTAAAAAGTCCTGAGGAAGATTTGCAAATAAAAATAAAAAGAAAGAACAATGTACCACTTATTCCCAAATAAATCTACAACAAAGTTCGTTGGCAAAACAGTTCTTTGTCCTTATTATTAGAGGTCATAACTGACAAGTCATCCACAAGTTCACATGGAAAAAAAGGGAAATGAAAATTGCCCTGGCTGGTTTGGCTCACTGGTTAGAGCATCGGCCCTAGGACCAATGAACTGCCCGTTCAATTCTGGTCAAGGGCACATACCTCAGTTGTGTTTCGTCCCTGGCCTTGGTTGGGGTCGTAAGGGAGGCAACCAGTCGATGTGTCCCTCTCACGTCGATGTTTATCCCTCTCTCCCACTCTATCTGAAGATAAATGGAAAAAATGTCCTTGGGTGAGGATTGAAAATTAAAAATAAAAAAAAGAAATTATTCTTTCACTGGTCTGCAGGTGGCTTTGGAAAAAAAACTGAGACGTTTACAGGGTAGATCATAAATATATAAAACTATAAAACCTTTCCAAATTAAAACGACACTTCTAAAATGTCCACTTTTAACTGTTCTTTATTTATATTATTTGTGAATAACAGGTACTATTAGTTTTATATCTACTAAAATATTACCTTAGATGTGTATTTTTACATGTTAGATTAGTAAGTTAAGTCTACAATGATCTGGGAAGAAAAATTTCAGGAATTTATCCTTTAGCACATACCTATTACAAGGTGAAAAGAAATTCTAAGCAGTATTAATTTAAATCTGGCTGAGAAGGGAAATACAGTATAGTTAAGATATTTAAAGGACAACTGATTCATTTTCTTTCTTTTTTTTTTTTTATCCTCACCCGAGGACATTTTTCCATTTTTTGTTCAGGCAGAGTGGGAGGGAGAGAGAGGAACAGAGAGAGAGAGAAAAACATCGATGTGAAAGGAACACATCGAGTGGCTGCCACCCGCACAACCGACGAGGGCCGGGGACAAACTGCAGCCGAGGTACGCACCCTTAGCGGAAACCGAACCCGGGTCTCTCAGGACCGCAGGCCGACGCTCTAACCGCTGAGCCAAACCGGCCAGGGCACAACTGATTCATTTTCAAGAAAATTTAGTGAAGGAATTCAGACTGATTATCAAAAGTAGTTGTGCCCTGGTCGGTTTGGTTCAGCGGTTAGAGCGTCGGCCCGTGGACCAGAGAGATCCAGGTTTGGTTCCCGCTAAGGGCATGTACCTCGGTTGCAGTTTGTCCCTGGCCCTGGTTGGGGTCGTTTGGGTGGCAACCACTCGATGTGTCTCTCTCACATGGATGTTTCTCTCTCTCTTCCTCTCTCTTTCCCTCCCACTCTATCTGAAGATAAATGCAAAAAAAAAAAAAAAAGTCCTCAAGTGAGGATAAAAAAAAAAAGTAGTTGTGCACTGCCTGTCCAGTGTGGCTCAGTGGTTTAGGGTATTGTCCCATGCACCAGAATGTCTAGGGTTCAATTCCCAGGGTGCATACCTGGGTGCAGATTTGATCCCTGGCCTGGTCGGCCTGTGTGCAGGAGGAAATCAATTGATATTTCTCTCTCTCTCTCTGTCTCTCTCAATCACTCCCTCCCTCCTTCCCTTCCACTCTGTGCTATCAATGGAAGAAAATATCCTGGGGTGAGGATAAAAAAAAAAAAAAAAAGTTGTGCACTTATTTTATTTTATTTATTTATTTATTTTTTGGTGCTGTTAATCCTCACCATTGATTTTGAGATAGAATGGAAGGGAGAGAGGAAGACAGAGAGAAACATCGATATGAGAGAGACACATCTATTGGTTGCCACCCGCATGACCCCAACCATGGTTGGGTTCGAACCTGCAACCCAGGTACGTGTCCTTGACCGGGAATTAAACCTGTGACCCTTCAGTCCTCAGGCTGAGGTTCTAACAGCTGAACCAAACCGGACAGGGCTTATTTAAATATTTTTACTGATTTTCTTTTTTTTAGAGAGAGGGAGAGGAAGGGAAAGGGAGAGAAACACCAATGTGAGAACAAAACATAGAGTGGCTGCCTCCTGCACGCCCCCTACTGGGGACCAAGCCCACAACCTGGGCATGCACCCTGACCAGAATCAAATTGGCAATCCTTTGGTGCCCAGGAAAATGCCCAACCAACTAAACCACACTGGCCAAGGCAGTTGTGCATTTAGAGTAACACTTGGTTGACCACAGAAATCAACAGAAATTCAAACAAGTGATGGGTATATTTCAAAATAATAAAAGGCACTTACTTTTCTTGCATGGTTTTGGCATTTTTATCATTAACTACCCCAATTGGCTTGGAAAGATCTCGAAATACAGATGGGTTATTAAAGTCCAACTCTTCTGAAGTATAATCTTGTAAAATCCAGGGGAACTGAAACAATTTACAATTTAGACATCCCTTACTAGAGAAGCTACCATCCCCTTATCTAACATCAAATACTTATCTAAAGACAAAAAAGAATGGTCTTTAAAAATATGTTCCCTATTGTAAATGTTTATTCATCTTTATTTCAATAACCAGAAGCATTATTTCCTATAATTCCACTGAAATATTTTCAATGAAGCAAAAAAAATAGGCTTTTATTTTAAAATTATTTATCATATTTATATACTTCTTGAAAATAGGACAGAAAATATACAAAAAGGCAAAAATACATTTTATATCTTTTTAAAAAATAATTATCACGCACATATAATTTTGTGTATTATAAAATTGAAAGGTAATTCCATATTTATGTAAAACTTACCACAGGATACTGTGCAAGGTCATTATAGGTTCGTCCTGCCATTGTATTTATTTGAATGAGGTAGTCAAAATTTGATATCTCTCTATTCACCCATTTCTAGACAGCACAAAAAATGAAAACCACAATTAATCTAATTGTCTTAGAAATCAGTAACTATTACTAATTACTAACAATCTTTTTTACTCATCTCTATCATCTTTCTGATAAAAGGAATGGAACTTCAAAAACAGCTTAGCAGGGACATAAACTCAATATACTCTTGCTAAATTCATTCCCTTTTTTTTTTTTAATCCTCATCCGAGGACATTTTTTCATTTTTTGTTCAGATAGAATGGGAGAGTGAGGAAGAGAGAGAAAAACATCGACGTGAAAGGTACACATCAAGTGGCTGCCACCTGCAAAACCCAACCAGAGCCGGGGACAAACTGCAACTGAAATACGTGCCCCCTTAGCGGCAACCGAACCCGGGTCTCTCTGGACTGTAGGCCGACGCTCTAACCGCTGAGCCAAACCGGCCAGGGCAATTCATTCCCTTTTAAAAATTGGTTTCTAGAAAAGGAACAGAAACTTCCATATAAATTTTACACTGCAGTCTAAAAGGTCTTCATAGAATTCTTTAATTTGATTAAATATTTTATTGGATATCCTAAAATGTTTAAATCTAGGACTGTTCAACATTGATAATTTTATTATAAATGAAATTTTCATAAGGGCACATATTTAAAAAACAGTATCTTAATGTAGTAGAATGATCCACAGATTTTATATAAACATTACATTAACCTCAGAAAACTGTCTTTATAGAGCAATAGGATTTTGCTACATTGAATACAAAATTTTCTAAAGAAAGACAATCATTTTATTTTAATCACCTTATTGTACCTAGCTTGCTAATTACTCTACACAGTGTGAGTATGCTAAAAAATTTTGCTGACAGATTAAATACCAGGGATGTACTTATGGAAAATAATGAGAAATTAATCCATGTATATAGATCTTATTTAAAGCCCAACTATAGCTGTGGCTGATTTGGCTCAGCAGTTAAAGCGCCGGCCCCCAGACCAGAGAGGCCCGGTTTGGTTCCTGCTAAAGGCACATACCTTGGTTATAGCTTGTCCCTGGCCCCGGTTGGGATTGTGTGCGTAGCAACCAGTCAATGTGTCTCTCTCACATTGATATTTCTCTCTCTCTCTTCCCCCTCTCTCCCTCCCACTCTATCTGAAGATAAATGCAAAAATGTCCTGGTGTGAGGATTAAAAAAAAAAAGAGCCCTGGCCGGTTTGGCTCAGCGGTTAGAGCGTCGGCCTGTGGTCCTGAGAGACCCGGGTTCGGTTCCCGCTAAGGGCGCGTACCTCGGTTGCAGTTTGTCCCCGGTCCTGGTTGGTTGTGCGGGTGGCAGCCACTCGATGTGTTCCTTTCACATCGATGTTTCTCTCTCTCTCTCTCTCTCTCTCTGTTCCTCTCTCTCCCTCCCACTCTACCTGAACAAAAGATGGAAAAATGTCCTCCGGTGAGGATAAAAAAAAAAAGAAGAAGAAAAAGAAATAAAAGCCCAACTATAATTGTTCCTAAGTGCCAAACTGAGAAATCAGTACTTTAATAAAAAAGTTTATTCCACAGAAAACAGGGAATGTATTTTATTAAATAAAGCTTATTCCATAAGCAATAGGAAACAACTGCTAATAGCTTTTTGAATAAGAACAACACTTAAGATTATGATTAAAGTACAGCATAGAAAAGATAGTCAATAATATTGTAATAATTATGGATGGTGCCTGGTGAGTACTAGAATTATTGGAGGGATCACTTCATAAATTATGTAATTGTTTAACCACTATGCTATACCTGAAACCAATATAAAATAACACTGAATATCAACTGTAATTGAAAAATAAAAATAAAAAGATTAATGCATATGTAGGAGGAAGGAGAGAAGCAGGGTCAGAACCTAATTAGGAAACTACTAACACTTCTGGAAAGCAAAAACAAATGGTCTTTCTTTGGATTTTAGCAGTACAAATTAAAGAGATGTTGGGATGTATGAGGATAAAATACACAAAGGCATTAGTTAACTTTGGCTGTCAGAAGAAATGATGTTTTATTTTTTTCACCTTTCTTCTATGATGCCTTTTGTATTTTCCCATTTTTTACCTCATGCATGCATTGTTTTTATTAAGAATAACTCATCATTTTTTAAAAAGAGAAAATTAGTAAAAAAGAAGAATTCATAAGGTATGTCTATACTGAATGCTATGAGAGCTGGAGGACGGGACATTGTATGTGTGAGGGAAACAAAGATTCAAAGGTAATTCAAAAAATCAGTTGGAATGGAAGAACAGCAATTGTGATAATCAAAATTTTTGAAAAGTAGAAAGTTTTACTTTTAAGCAAAACACAGAGATATAAAATTTCCTACCTGTGTCAATCCTGATGCTTTGAATAACTCCTGTGGTGACCTGGTTCCATAACTATTTGGAGAATGAAACGACAATAGTCTGCTATACACTTTGTTTCTAACCTATAAAAAACAGCATTTTATAGTTTAAAAACTGATCAAGACAAACCATGATTATAGCTTTTGTAACAGTTTTATTGAGATAACTCCCATACCATAAAATGTACCATTAAAGTATACAATTCAGTGGGCTTTTTTGTATATTGTGAGTTGTGCAACCATCAACATTATCTAACTTTGAAACATTTTCATCATCCCCAAAAGAAACTTTACTCAGAAACTTTAGCTATCGTTTCCCAATTCCCACTCTCTTCCATACCCTAACCACCTCTAATCTATTTTCTCTCTCTATGGATTTGTCTTGACTGGACATTTCACATAAATAGAGGATTATGATTTTAATTTCTTTATAGAGTAGGAGGGAGAGAGAGGAAGAGAGAGAGAAACCTCGATGTGAGAGGGACACATTGAGTGGCTGCCACCCACACAACCCAACCTGGGCCGGGGACAAACCGCAACCGAGGTACATGCCCTTAGCGGGAACTGAACCCAGGTCTCTCTGGACCGCAGGCCGACGCTCTAACCACTGAGCCAAACCAGCCAGGGAGGAAAATTGTTTTCTAATAGTAAAAAAGTATTCTTTCATAAAAACAGGAAAATGCTCTTTAAACTCTGAATAAAATCATCTATAAGTAAACCTTGATCCCACAAGTGAACAGAAATAGTTTTTGTGCTAATCCAGGTCATCTGAGAAGCAGATGCCAAGACACACTTGAAAGTGAGACAATTTTATTGAGAGAGATTCCTGTGAAAGAATATGGAGAGAGAGAGCTAAGCAAGGTGGGACGCAAGTCAGAATGTGATGCAAATCTCACTCCAAGTGAACAGCAGAGGGGAGGAAGGATAGGGCAAGTAATGTGTCAAAGGTTACAAAGCTAGTGGTGGAGCAGATACTTAGATACAGAGAACCTGGTTTCAACAGTAATCTCTTACACTGTTTAAGAATTTACTCCACTCCAGACGAAATACATGCCCCATCATTGTTGAAATGAACCCAACCTAATGTCATAAATCCAATCATATTATATATTTGGCATATTATTTCATAACTGTATACTGTGAGTTACCTACTGGCTAACACTCAATATTCTACTATCTACCCATATATAAAAGTGAAAACAAGCAAACTCTAAACACTCAAACATAAATCCCAACAGAAATTCATATATTGCTTAACCTCCAAAGTACAGGGTAGGGGCAAAAGCAGGTTTACAGTTGTTGAGTATGCGAAACAGTGTTTATTCTTGTATTATTAACTATTGTATTATTTTCCATATGAATGGTAAACCTACTTTTGCCCAACCCTGTATATACTTTTTCATCCAATATTCTGACTTGATGAAAGAACAGAGTCCAAAGTTTCATTAAGGCTCACTAACTGGGAAATTATTTTAAGCTAATACTTTGGGGCTTCCAGAAAGGTAGCATCTTACATACCTCTTTTTTGAAATTGAGAAAGTAGTTGGATTGATCAACATGAAAAATCTCAAGGGCAGACCTCCTTAAATTGTAACGCCGCAGGTGAATCTCTCGAACTTGAGAATGAGGCCACTTGAAATCAAAGCCTACTCCTTAAAACAAGAAGAAATCTTGTGACTAAGTTACCATATAAAGTTACTCATGCTATTCAGAAAATATCTCCTAGTTCCTGAAAGTAGCACTTAGGGAAAAGAAATTCAATTTCTGTATCAGAAAAACATTTCTTAAAATTACTGGATGTTTAAATTGTTTCTCTTAAAACTATTTTAAAATTCTATAGCTATTCTACTTCCTTCCCATTAGAATAATTCTGAATATGTTCTGAAACATTTTTCTCTCTTTATGTTGACATCTTAGATTTAAATATCCTTTTATTTTCAGATAAAGAATTAGGTGAAAAGCCTAAAGAAGTGGACATACAAATAAAATTAAGATTGTATTTTATAACTTAAGTTTATAGACATCCCCTCAACCAAACCTTTTGAAAACATTGATAAAATCATTCCCTTCAATAAACTGCTGAATATAAATTTTATCCCATACTGACTCCCAATTTCTCCTTTTACATGATAGATTAAAATTCCACAGTCCCATCTTATTGTTCTTTTCACATTAATAATTGATAAGCTGGATACTTAACTATTGAACAACAGAAATTATTCCCCCAGAACTCCTCACCGTCTTCTTTTTCAATGCTGCCATCATAGAAGTAAATGTGTTGAGTAGTGATTTCTAATCTGCCAGGAATTATGTCAATTATTGTAATGAGTTCACAGTCTACTGAGAACACCAACTTTTCTTTTTGATCCTGTTCTTTATTTTCATCACTGTAAAAACAAACAACAATCAAACAAATAACAAACATCTAACAATGTATTTTATGTAAATAAAAAATATCATATTCAAATATAAATCTCATATCCATAAAATTAATACCCAACAAAGTATTTAAATTATCTACAAAAAATATTCCACTGTGTATTAAATTACTTATTGTCCAAATATTCTTATTACCCAATAACTCAGTTTCAAAAAAAACTTTTACATTTTAATGATATATGACCCATTAAACAAAATACAGTGAATCTTTAATACTACTGGCAGATGTCAGTTCAAACAAGCTCAATCCACTGAGCCATATCAGCCAGGCAACTGATATAATTTATATTTATTGAAGGATATAACTGGGAAATGACAGTGTTCTAGTGGCTCAGGTGACTTTTATTTATTTATTTATTTTATCCTCACCTGAGGACATTTTTCCACTTTTCTCCAGATAGAGTGAGAGACAGAAGAGGAAGAGAGAGAGAAACATAGACGTGAAACATCAACTGGTTGCCTCCCGCACCACCCCAACCAGGGCCGGGGACGAATCGAAACCGAGGTATCTGCCCTTGGCCAGAATCGAACCTGTGACTCATTGGTCTGTGGGTCAACGCTCTAACTGCGGAGTCAAACTAGCCAGGACTCAGGTGACTTTTAAACGCCAAATATAGAAAAGGGGACTCCTATCACTCACAGAATATTATTCAAGTAAATCCTTCAGGCTAGCTGCTGTTTGATCCAGATATTTCATATCTGTCTCATTTCTAGGACAGCAATGACTAAATCTTTGTTTTCAATGGATTTACATAAGGAATCTTTATCTAAAATACTGCAAGCCTTAACTTAAAGCTAAGCTTTAAAAAAATTAAAAATTAAGCCCTGGCCAGTTTGGCTCAGCAGTTAGAGCGTCCGCCTGCGGTCCAGAGAGACCCGGGTTCGGTTCCCGCTAAGGGCATGTACCTCGGTTGCAGTTTGTCCCCGGCCCTGGTTGGTTGTGCGGGTGGCAGCCACTCGATGTGTCCCTTTCACATCGATGTTTCCCTCTCTCTCTCTTCCTCTCTCTCCCTCCCACTCTATCTGTACAAAAAATGGAAAAATGTCCTCGGGCGAGGATTAAAAAAATAAAAATAAAAAATAAAAAAAAAGAAATGTCTTTAAAAAAATTAAAAATTAAGAATGTTTTCTTAAACAGTGAAATTCCAGTATTTACTGTGATAAAATGGAGAAATAAGGGACCTATGAGTATAAATAGTCTAAATGTTATTACACTTTAAAATAGTTAAAACAGTAAATTTTATGTTATGTGAATCTCAATTTCTAAAACTATATCTCATTTTTTAAAAAGCAGCCAAAAATGAAGGCAAAATAAAGATATTCACAGGTAAAAAAGATTGAGAGAATTTGTGTCTATCAGAGCTTCCTCACAAGAAATACTAAAAGAAGTCCTTCAGGCTGAAAGGAAATGACACACCAGATGATACTTTGAATGTACACAAAGAAATACAATATATAAGTATGATAATTATATAGGCAAATACAAAAAGTAATTTAGTTTTCTCTTTTCTTCCCTTAACTGATTTAAAGTTGAGTACATAAAACAGTAACTATAAAGTTGTATTGTTGGGCTTAAAATATATAAAGGTCTAACATTTATGATAACATAAAGGAGAAATGAAGAAATAAAAATATATTTGCTTAGGGAAAGTTTTTTTTTTAAATATGTTTTTTAGAGAGGAAGGGAGAGAGATAGATGTGAGAGAGATACATCGACTGGCTGCATCTTGCACACCCTGCACTGGGGATCGAGCCCACACCCAGGCAAGTGCTCTGACCAGGAGTCGAACCCGGATCTCTCAGTCAATGGGACGACACTCAATCCACTGACCACACAGGGCAGGCACATAGAGAAAGTTTTTAAATTACAAATTCAAATTTAAAAATATATCTAAGGCTATTCAGATTATATATTTCTTCCTGGGGGAGGTTGGTAATTTGTATCTTTGAAGAATTTATCCATTTCATTAAGTTCTCAAATTTATTGGTATGAAGTTTTCATTAGCATTTCTTTTCAATCTGTTTTTTTTTTTGGTACGTGCCCCTAGCGGGAACCAAACCCAAGACTCTCTAGTCTGCAGGCCAATGCTCCAACCACTGAGGCAAACCGGCCAGGGCTCTTTTTAATCGTTTTAATATTTACGGCATTATCTCCCTCTTTCATTCCTGATACTGGTAATTTATGTTGTTTTTCTTTCCTTTTTAACCAGTCTAACTAGAAGTTTATTGTTTTGTTATTTGTTTTTTTAATAACTAGCTTTAGTTTTCTTTTATGTGTCTTTTTGGGTGTTTTTGCGTTTCTTTTCTATGAATTTCTGCTTTTATCTTTATAATTTCTTTCTTTTGCTTAAGAGTTATATTTCAAGTACTGGAAGTCTTAGCCACAGCCATTAGACATAAAAGGGATCCAAACTGGAAAGGAGAAAGTGAAACTCATTATTTTCAGATGACATGATCATGTACATAGAAAATCCTAAAGACTCCATCAAAAATCTACTAGAGTTAATAAATGAATCTGGCAAAGTAACAGGATACTAAATTAACGTCAAGAACTCGATGGCATTCTTATACACCAATGATGAACTCACAGAAAGAGAAACTAAGAAAACAATCCCATTTACTATCATGGCAAAAAAAATTAAGATAGCTAGGAATAAACTTAACCAAAGAAATAAAGGACCTATTCACAGAAAACTACAGGTCATTGAAAAAAGAAACAGAGGAAGATATAAAAAAGTGGAAGCATATACCTTATTCATGGATTGGAAAAATTAACATCATTAAAATGTCCATAATACCCAAAGCAATCTATAGATTCAATGCAATCCCCATCAAAATACCAATGACATTGTTCACAGAACTAGAACAAATACTCCAAAAGTTTGTATGGAACCAAAGAAGACCCTGAATAGCAATCTTGAAAAAAAAAAAAAAAAATAGGAGGGATCACAATACCAGATATCAGGTTATACTACAAAGCCACTGTACTCAAAACAGCCTGGTACTGGCACAAGAACAGGCATACAGACAATGAAACAGAACAGAGAACCCAGAATTGGACCCAAGACAATATGCTCAATTAGTATTTGACAATGTTAGCAAAAGTATACCGTGGTGTCAAGACAGCCTCTTCAATAAATGATGTTGGAAAAATTGGACAGCTACACACAAAAATAATTAAGCTAGACTACCAGCTTACACCATACACAAGAATAAACTCAAAATGGATAAAAGACTTCAATATGACTCGTGAATCTGTAAAAATCCTATAAGAAATTGTAGGCAACAATATTTCAGACGTCACACGCAGCAGAATTTTCACTAATACACGCCTAAGGCAAGAGAAACAAAGGAAAAATAGAACACATGGAACTAGATCAAACTAAAAAGCTTCTGCACAGCAAAAGAAACAACTACCAAAATGAAAAAACCCACTATATGGGAGAGCATAACTGCCAACAAAAAGGGGTTAATTTCCAAAATATATAGAGTACTCATACAACTCAACAAAAGGAAGACAAAGAACCCAGTTAAAAAATGGGCAGAAGAACTAAAGAGATACCTCTCCAAACAGGACATACAAATTGGCCAAGAGACATATGAAAAAATGCTCAACATCTCTTAATCATCAAAAAGATGCAAATTAAAAGAACTATGAGGTATCACCTCACACACAATGGCTGCCATCAACAAATCATCAAATAACAAGTGCTGGCAAGGGTGTGGAGAATCAGGACTCTAAGTACACTGCTGGTGGAAATGCAGACTGGTGCGGCCACTAAGGAAAACATGGTGTTACCTCAAAAAGTTCAAAATTGAACTGCCATTTGACCCAGTGATCCCACTTCTAGGAATATACCCTAAGAAGCCTGAAACACCAATCAGAAAGAATAAATGTACCCCTATGTCCATAGCAGCACTATTTATAATAGTGACGATCTGGAAACAACCCATGTGTCATCAATAGATGAGTGGATAAAAAAGCTGTGGTACATATACACAATGGACTACTATGCAGCTGTAAGAAAGAAAGATCTATCCTTTGAAAAGACATAGCGGGACCTGGAGAGTATTATCCCTAAGTGAAACAAGCCAATCAGAGAAAGACAAATATTACATGATCTCACTTATTTGTGGAATATAATGAACAAAAGAAACTGATGAACAAAATAGACCCAGAGACATAGAAGTAGGGCACAGACTGACAACCCTCAGAAGAGGGAGGGGGAGGAAGGAAAAGATAAACCACAGAACTTATATGCATGTATGCATAACCAATGGACATAGACAACAACGCTGGGGATGGGAGGATAGAGAGGAGGGTGTCAATGGAGGAAAGAAGAGAAACATCTGTAACAAAAACAAATTTATTTAAAGAAAATTTTTTTAAAGTTATATTTCATGCTGTACTTTCCATCTAAACAGTTTTAGCCATACACAGGAAATTTGATGTTATGTTTTTATTATCATTCAACTCAAATAATTTCTCATTTCAAGGACCAGCTTCAAGTTATCCCAGTTCTAAGAAGCCTTCTTTAATAATCTCAGTTAACATTGATGTACTCCTAAGAGCTGATATGGCATTAACTGTTGGACCCTGGAAATGTATACAGTGATACCTCGGTTCTCGAACATAATTCGTTCCAGGAGGACGGTCGAGAACCAAATTGTTCGAGAACCGAAGCAATGAAACCCAATAGGAAATAATGGAAACTGGATTAATTCGTTCCAAGCCCCAGAAAATGCCTATTTACTGGCCTAATTTGTATATAATATGTAGAAAAACATAAGTCTCAACAAGAAATAAAAGTGTACAGTATGTCTAAGGGTTAAATTCAGTGTAAAGCGTGACTCTCTCCACAAAGCGTGACTCTCTCTCTGCACTCACACTGATGACGCAAGCAAGGCGCGCTGGGCCGAATGAACGCCATTCGGCTCAACTCGGCTCATCTCGGCTCATCTCGGAAGTTCGAGTTCCAAATATTTGTTCGGATTCCAAGACAAAAGTTTCTCGAATCTCCTGGTCGAATACCGATTTGGTAGAAATCCGAGGCGTTCGAGAACCGAGGTATCACTGTAGTATTAAAATTTCGCCCTGGCCAGTTTGGCTCAGCAGTTAGAACATTGGCCTGTGGTCCAGAGAGACCCGGGTTCGGTTTCCGCTCGGGGAACATGTCTCGGTTGCAGTTTGTCCCCGGCCCCGGTTGGTCGTGCGGGTGGCAGCCACTCGATGTGCCCCTTTCGCTTCAACGTTTCTCTCTCTCTCTTCCTTTCTCTCCCTCCTACTCTAGCTGAACAAAAAATGGAAAAATGTCCTCGGGTGAGGATAAAAAAAAAAAATTTCAAGCAAGTTATCTTACACAATTTTACAATTCCATTTCTCAGAATAAAACAATTTTAAGTTCTTTCAAGTACATATACATACATATTTACTCTGGCTGTAATTTCTTCTTCAGAAAGATCTAACTTATCTTCCTCCATATCACTAACTTTTACTTGTTTCACTACTTCCAAAAGCAGTGAATCACTGGAAGGCTGTGAGTGTTGGACACCTGTTTAAAAACGAAATATTAAACAGAAAGTTAAAAAAAAATCATACTACAGCTCTTCTGTAATTTCTGACTGTTAATTATATGATAATAATGTGCATTACAAGTGAAGACAGTACTTAGCTCTTTTGATTATTTTTATGGCATCAACCTACTGACCAATACATTAAGGCAACTTCAAAAAATTAAAAAACTGGTACTAATTTCATCTGTTAGTCACTGAACACAATGGACACAATGGAACACAGGTGTCTATGGTAAAGTAACTACAATTTAATATACACACAACTGGCCAATGACTTTTAATCAATATTTTGGGGTATTTCACAGACCCCTCTTCAAAAAGGGAGAAACACCAAGTCAGATGGTTAAAAAAGAATGGTTTCCTAACTGTAGAAACTCTTTAAAATCTGCTTCAAATTACTGCTAGGTTATGCATTTTTAAGCACCTTTTCCTAGAAAAATGCACTGGCTCATCTAAGATACTAAGTATCCAGAGTTCTGTAAGAATACATTATAAAAGAAAGGCCTACAGTTGCTAAGTATTCTAAATATATTTAACATCAGCCTCAGTATTGGTAAGCAAAATTAAGGGGAAAGGAGCACTGTTTCATTGTACTATAATGGATATTAGAGACAACACATTTCATATAAATGACAGTATAATTTTATGGCTTTAAACTATATTTTTGTTTGAAAAATTACAATAAACTTAAATAAGAATATTAGATTTAGGCCAAAGGTAACAGAATTTAACACATAAAACCATTTAAATATCAATTCTAAAACATTATCCTTCTTTCATGAGTAAATAATTTTGAAACAATAATTAACCCCATCAACACCCTTACTATCTTCAACAAATAAATAGTGATTGGAACTCACCTAGATTATCTCTCAAAGCACTAGCTTCATCATGAGTTTTGAAGTTATAATTCGGTACCAATTTAAGTCTCATACGGGAATAATTTTCTACATTAGCCAGTTTCCAGTGAATTGGATTTTGTTTCCTATAAATATTCATCAGTAAACACATACAGTTACATAGATTGAAAAAGAATAAGAAAGTATCAGGTATTTTACATGCGTTTAACACTATTTTATAAAAACATTCACATTCATTACCAATGTGAGTATGCATAGCTACAGTGTATACATGAGATATCTAAAACAGGATAATTTGGCTTTTGGCCTAAAATGCCATGTGGTTTATAGATAGCAGAAATAAAATCTGAATATAAATCTTCAGATAGATAGCTTGATATCTCTTAATGCTTTCACTGTTATACAGAAATGTTAAACTAGCTATACAAGTTTATACCAAATAAAGCTTTCAAAATAAAATACTTTTATTACAAACAAAGGTAATATCATTGCAAATGGATCAAAGATCTAAATATAAGAGTTAAAACTCTTAGGGGAGAAAGGATAAATCTTCATGACCTCAGAGTTAGGAATGGTTTCTTAGATATGACATAAAAAACACAAGCAACAAAAGAAATAGACAAATTGGTCTTTAAATTCAAAACTTTTATGCACTAAAGTCCACTATCAAGAAAGTGAAAAGGCAGCCTACTTATTTACAAATAATATATATCTAATAAGGGTCTATTATTGAATATATAAAAAGAATTCTTACAACCCAACCACAAATCAAATAATCCAATTAAAAATAGGTAAAGGACTTGGATATTTCTCCAAAGAAGATATATACAACTGGCCAACAAGTACACGAGAAGATGCTCGACTGTCATTAGTTATTAGGTAAATGTAACTTCATAAGATATCACTTCACACCCACCAGGATAGTCATAATTAAAAACAGAAAATGACAAGTACTGGCAAGGTTGTGGAGAACTGGAATCCTCAAGTATTGCTAATGGAAATGCAAAATGGTGCAGCTACTGTGAAAAACAGTCTGGCAATTCTTCAGTAAGTTAATCACAAAATTATCTTATGACCCAGAAAATCTGTTTATAGGTATACTACACCTTAGATAATTAAAAACAGGTATTGAAACAAACACTTGTTCACAAATGAATAGAAATACTATTCACAATAGCCATAAGGAAAACAATGCAAATGTCCATTACCTGATGAGAATAGATAAAATGTGATATAACCATACAATGGAATATTATTTGGCCATAAAAAAGGAAAGAAGTGCTGACACATACTACAATATAATGAAAACATTATGCTAAGTGAAAGAAGCCAGACACAAAAGGCCACATATTATAGGAATCCATTTATATGAAATTTTCAGAATAAGCAATCCAAGAGTCAGAAAGCAGATTGATGGTTGCCAGGGGCTGGGGATAGGGATAATGGGCAGTGACTGCTTAATGGGTCCAGGGTTTCTTTTTGATATGATGAAAATATTTTCTTTTTTTTTTTTTTTTTTTTTTTATCCTCACCCGAGGACATTTTTCCATATTTTGTTCAGATAGAGTGGGAGGTAGAGAGAGAGAGAAACATCGACGTGAAGGGACACATCGAGTGGCTGCCACCCGCACGACCAGCCAGGGCCGGGGACAAACTGCAACCAAGGTACGTGCCCTTAGCGGGAACCGAACCCGGGTCTCTCCAGACCGCAGGCCGACGCTCTAACCGCTGAGCCAAACCGGCCAGGGCTGATGAAAATATTTTCAAGCTGAACAGTGGTGATGATTATAAAACATGTATTTAATACCACTAAATTGTACATTTTAATGGTTAAAATTTTATATTATATGTATTTTACCACAATAAAAAAAGACTATAAAAATAAATACATATATCACATAATATAATATTATGTAATATTACTTAGGATCACGTAAACAAAATTGTAAAATATTCAAGCACAAAGCATCGCTAACCCTAGCCCAAAGATGTAGTGTCACAAAGACAGAAGTAAACTGATTCAAAACAAACTCTCTATTACAGGGTAAAAGGAAAGAAAATAAATCCATGGGAAAGCATATACATATAAAGCACAAAAAATATCAGACCTATAATTCACAAAAGACAATCAAATTAATTAAAAGCAATCCTTTATACATTTTTTGCTTGTTTTGAGGAAGGATAGAAAGAGAAGTACAACATCCTTTGCTCTTACGGAGCAGACTTCAAGTGATAGACATATAAACTACACCACAATTCAGAAAGTGAACAATTCTAATGGTAGCAATAAAAACCAATTCAGGTATGTGTCTTAATTATAATACATTTTTATCAATATCTTCAATCTGTACATGAGAGAATGGAGGCTGCAAATGGCTACTTTCCTAAGGCCATGTAACTTATAAATGTCAGAGTTGGGACTTGAACCCAGGACCTCTGAGTTTAGTAGCTCATTTGCTCTAACATTGGGGTCCTACTTTTCTCAATCTTCTTTCTCAGGGACAACCTCACTGTAGATCCTGGGTGTGCCTGGATTTCTGCTTCCAGATTGATGCTAACTGTGGAGTGTTTTTTTTTTAATCCTTACCCGAGGACATTTTTCCTTTTTTTTTTTTTTTGTTCAGATAGAGTGGGAGGGAGAGAAAGAGATAGAGAGCAACATCCACGTGAAAGGGACACATCGAGTAGTTGCCACCCGCACTACCCAACCAGGGCCGGGGACAAACTGCAACCGAGGTACGTGCCCTTAGCAGGAACTGAACCCAGATCTCTCTGGACCGCAGGCCAAAACTCTAACCACGGAGCCAAACTGGCCAGGGCTAACTGTGGAGTTCTTGCCAAAGTCTTTTGCCACCGGACTCCACCTTACTAGCAAGATTTACTATATGTTGTTAGCATCTGTCAATAAACTGGCATGGTTCTTTATTCTACTGAAACCACAGAGCCAAAAGGTAGGTTTCCCATGGTACCTGCAGATCCCAGAGGCTACTGCCATTAGGACCTTCTCTTTCTTATGCCAGAGCTCAGATGCAGGCTATATAATGGTTTCTTCTTCAACACCAGGTCCAGAGGACAATTTCAGTAAGTTCTGCACTGGGAACTACCACTCTGTTTCACCTGAAATAGCTCTTTCAGGTACTGCACTATTAATTTTCAATTTCATATTTTTAGTTGCAAGTATATGAAACAAAACTCAAATTGCTTATAAGCACAAAAGACATATATTACCTCTCATAACTTGCAAGTCTAAGAAGAGTGCATTTGGTCTGGATGGATCCAGAGACTTACATAATGCCACCAGGAATCATTCTTCCACCTCTCAAGACTGGCTTCTCCACAAAATGAGTGAGATGGCCAGCCACAGATCGACGCTCACATTCTGTTAGCTTAGTGATCCCAAATGACACAATCTTCCCTGACAGAACCAGCAGCAAAGTCTCAAGGAAGAGTCATTGCCCAACTTGAGTCTGTGGCACCTTTGTGATGAGATGAGTTGGGAAGAGCCATATCAGAGTAGGTTCCTCACAAAAAGGAAGGGTTTTAGTACCAAGAGGAGAAAGTGGGGCTAGAGGGACAAAAATTACAGGGTTCCTTGTAGATGGCATCCTCAGGGGAACTCTCACAACCCACAAATAATCTGAGGTCTGTTGTGGAATAGAACCATCAATCCCTTGGGTAGTACCTAAATTCAGCTTTCCAGAAGACTCAGCAAAAGCTACAGATTATAATTTACCTACTTCCTCACAGTCCCATTCCAACAAATAGGTCCAGGGACACATATACAAACTAGGTCTGGAAATAGCCTGGGGTGACTGAAAATATCCCCAAGATTGGTATGCAAATAAAATCCTAACACAGAATCTAGGTTACACTTATAACCTTCTCTCTTTTATTCTTATAGTGCAGACCATTCTATAATGGCTTCACAGAATGTGCAGTAAGTGAATATTAAAAAAAAACTGAAGGTTATAAAAAGAACTTTCCCTTATTCTTCAAACAAATAAGATCCTGTCATTCACTTGATTCAGCTGTGAAGAATTTCTTTGCATTTCACTGTGCAAAACACTAATTTCTTTTCTTTTTCAATTTTATTTTAAATTTTTATCTTTTTTGTCCTTCCATCTGTTTTTATTCCCATCTCCCTGCCCAGAACAAAATTATAGGTGAATATCCCTGAGGAATATGGACGTCAAAATCCTCAACAAAATTTTAGTAAATAGGATTCAGCAATATATTTAAAAAATTATTCACAACAACCAAGTAAGATTTATCCCAGGGATTCAAGGCTGGTACAATATTCGCAAATCAGTAAATGTTATACCACATAAACAAAACGAAAGATAAAAATCATAGGATAGCCCTGGCCGGTTTGGCTCAGCGGTAAGTACATCGGACTGCGGTCAGTTCAGTTCCCGCTAAGGGCACGTACCTCAGTTGCAGTTTGTCCCCAGCCCTGGTTGGGTTGTGAGGGTGGCAACCATTTGATGTATCCCTTTCACATCGATGTTTCTCTCTATATATCTGAACAAAAAATGGAAAAATGTCCTCGGATGAGAATTAAAAAAAAAAAATCATAGGATAGTTTTGCCCAGCTGGTGTGGATCAGTGCTTGAACGTCGACCCACGCACCAGGAGGTCACTAGTTCGATTCCTGCTGAGGGCACATGCCCAGGTTGTAAGCGTGACTCCAGGAGGGGATCCCCACGTGGCGGTCAATTGATGTTCTCTCTCACTGATGTTTCTATCTCCTCCTCTCCCTTAACTTTTTCTCTCTACCATCAATAAAGAAAAAAAGTTTTTTTAAATCATATGATGGTTTCAATAGATGCTGAAAAGGCATTTAACAAAACCCAGCCCCATTTCAGATAAAAATGCTCAGCAAAGTAGGAATATATTTTAGCATAATAAAGTCCATCTATGAAAATCCTACAGCCAACATCATACTCAATGAGAAAAAACTAAAAACATTTTCCTTAAGAACAGGAACAAGACAGTGATGTCCACTTTCACTGCTCTTATTCAATATGGTACTGAAGTCTTAGCCAATCAAACAAGAGGAAAAAATAAAAGGCATCCAAATTGAAAAGGAGAAAGTGAAACTGTCATTATTTGCAGATGACATGAT